AAAACCTAGTCGGAGACACTGAGCATGCCAATATTTATATCACATAAAAGATTTGATAGTCTCAATCTTTTAGACATTTCGAAGTAAATCTGCAGATCCACTATTTCATCAAATCAACGGGTATTATGATTGGCCATACGATAATATTTCTTCTGTGCAAGCCTCAAAGGTAAAAACTTGAGCAAGCTAAGATTGACGTATCACGTTTTGTCATGATATTTCTGGCATTTTAAATGAAATATACCTATTTCAAATCAAAATTTGACTAAAGATGAAATGATATCAGAATTTAACGTACCATCTGAATATGTAATGATATACAGGGCGTTCTATTTTAAAAAATGGAATTTTGGTCTGTAGCACCTACACCAAACACCTTGTCTATTTGAAAATTATATCAAAATATAGCTCTCATGAACTCCTAAAAACTTTTGTATAAAACATTTTTGTGTATCTCCTTCAACAAACCAGATATTGCCTGTCACATAAAATGTGGGACACCCGGTATATAGGGCTACTCAAATTCGTTTCTGTACATGGGGATCTCGTAAACGATAAGAGATAGAGTGTCGGTTGAATTATGGCAAAGTTGCGTATTTTAGAGACCTATTCAATGATGTGAAGAAATCGAATATAGCTCTTTTGGTTCTGGAGATATACAGGAAAAACCAAAAAATTCCAAATTATTTATTTGCCTATATCTTCTTTATTCGCAGACATATTGAAAATCTGTCCACATTTTGCTATTGCCACTTGATGTGGGCTCTCAGAATATATCCATGAATCTTTTATACAGGGTTTCCGTAAATACTTCTCATGTGAAACAGTATTACAGCTCACAATATGTAAAATTAAAACTAACTTGGATAGCCAGAAATATGTTATTGCTGTATTTTTAGACTTAAAAAGAGCTTTCGAGACAATTGATAGAGAAATTATGTTTCAGTATGGGATTGATGGAAAGGTGTTAGAAAACAGAAAGTCTGTTTAAATGATGCACTATCAAATGAAAAAGACATTGATGTAGGTGTTCCCCAAGGTAGTGTTCTGGGACCGCTTATTTTTGTTTTATATTTGAACGGTATTGAACTTTTTATTGAATCTGAGTTCATAAACCTATTTGCTGATGATATTTTGAAGTTAAACGTAACAAAAACAAAAGCAATGATATTCACCACGAAATATAAATACAGTTCTCTAGAAATCAACCTCATAAACCTCAATATCAATTACGAAAAAATTGAAGTTGTGTCATCAGTCAAATACCTTAGTTTTCAACTGGATAATTTTTTAAATTTTGACAATCACTTTGAATATATACATAGAAAAAACTATATTTTTTCAGTAGAATAGCACAAAATTTGTCAATGCAGCCCAAAGTAACAGTTTACAATACCATTATTCAACAACACTTTGATTATTGTGCGTCATTATTATTTTTATTCAACCTCAATGAATTAAATATGCTACAAAAACTACAAAATCGAGGGATGAGAGTAATCTTGAAAAAGTTGTGTTGCTTTATCTGTTGGAGTAGTTTGATCCTTCTTCTGTATGTTTTGTTTGGTTCTTTTCTAATTTATCTATAGTCTTTTGGGTGTATCCGTTCTCGTTTGCTATTTGGTACATATTTTTTTCCTCGTTCCGGGCTTCATTGCTAAGTGGTATCCTCAGCATTCTGTATATGAATGCGTTGTAGGCAGCCATTTTGTGTATGGTGTATGATACACGCAAGTTCGAACCATCCACATACATAGCAATAGCAAAAACAATATCGACATTCAAATTTCCAAAAATGGTCAAGGAAAAAAGCTTGCTAGAAACGTATGAAATGACGTTTGATCAATAAAGATGGAACAAGAATTATAAAAGTCGAAGAAAATGTTTCTCTTGCACAACACATCATGAAGTAGAAGACGAATATAAAAACTGTGTTATGCCTTTTTTGTGATGGTCATGAGTACAAGTCTAATAGAAGACTATGTTTAGAAAATGAACGACAAAAAAAATACGTGAAAAAATGACCTTCTATAGTATATGAAGCAGCAGTGTTGTTCTACAAACAGTATTGAAATTGAAATATAGAACCGCAAGAATTTTCGACACTGAACACTAGGTATCACCAAGAAAATGATAAAATATCAGTAGAACAGGGTAGGGAAGTTTTTGACAAAAACAAAATAAGTAATGAAGGGTCCTAACTAGGTAGGGTTATGATAGACAAGTAAAAAAATAGGTGCTGCTAATATTGGAAAAACAGTAGGACAAAATGTAGTCGCTGACCATCGTCATGTTTATTCAGGCAGGAAGGTCGCTTCCCAATTTCGATAGCCTCGCGAATTATCTGAGCTTGTAGTGTTTTCGCTGTGGCGATGGTCTTCGTGTTCGCAAAGTCTATATGGTGTCCTGTCTCTTATAGATGTTTGCACATTGCTATGGATGGGTCTTACTTTCGAACAGCAAGTTGATGTTCGTATACTCCGCTTGTCACACGTCTGTTGGTCTGGCCTATATATGTTCTATGGCAATCAGAACTTGTAATTTTATATACTGGGGTATATTGACTTTGAGAACACTAAAACCATCGCCACAGCGAAAACATTACAAGTTCGGATAATTTGCGAGTCCAACGAAATCAAGAAGCGACCTTCCTGAAACCATATTAAACTATAGAAGGAGAGTTGAGGTTAACCTGACTTTTTTCCGAAATTAATCTTCCATCTCTTACTCCATCTGTGTAATCTTTGTCCGGTCAGTACTTAAACTGCAATAGATGATCGAACCAATTACGAAACAGAAAAAGCAGAATTTCACGTGGACACTTGTGTCTATCAACACCATATGGATGTAGCATCACACTGCAAGACGGTCTGGCATCCCCGGACGAAGGAGGTGACTGGTCTACTATGCCTTAGAGGAAGGAATGATCAATAAAGAAAAGAAGAATAAGTCGTATCCCATTCTATATAGTATATCATATTTCAGTTTTTTAATTGCATGACATATTGCTGTGATTTTACTTTCGATATACTATAATGAGTTATAAAAACTTCTATCTGAGAGCGCTCTTATTTTAAAAATGTTTTTTTAAAAACAAAAAAAAAATGTCAGGTGTGGGGTTCGAACCCACGCTCCCTTTCGGGAACCAGAGCTTAAATCTGGCGCCTTAGACCGCTCGGCCAACCTGACTCACATTCAATTCAAAATGAATATAGTATACAACGTATGACAATTCCGTCATACTGAGTAATTCCGGAACAAAAAAATTCCTTTTACATCTTTCGAAAAAGTTGAGAAATAAAAAAAAATCAGCAAGTGAAATATTGTTTGTGAACGTAAATTTTGTCGGATGCAGATTTTAGCCTTCGATACGTTAAGATAAGTATAGTATAATTTCTTAGCTTCTTTTTTGACTGGCAAAATGAATAAATATAACTCACTGATAAGTAAAACATCTTTTTTTGTGAGAAATACTGCGAATTTACACAGTAACTTCTCAAGGTGACCTAAAAGGTTTGTGCTTTCAAAAGTACTTCTTTACAATTTTCAAATTTTTCTGATTGTGGAAGGTGAACATACCCAAAGAAAGTTGATTGAAAATAAAAGAATATTATATTGTTTTCAAAGTGTCCCCGGTCTTATAATGATTGATGACCAATTGAAAATAACTTTTGATATAGAATGTATAGCACCCCATTTGTGTAGGTTATAGGTAATGAGATAAAATATTTTTTTTATTGAAAAAATGTGTTCGAGAGGACTTCATCTTACAGTTTGTATCTGAAAGTAACTAACTTGCATGCATGATCTTTGTCTATTTGAAATATCTATTTTTCCGTTAACCAGCTGTCGCACCCCTATAAACGACAAACCTCAGAAGTCGAAACTTGTGCGAGCTAAGGATTAACGAGGTCTCACCTTTAACGTGTGATTCCTACCAGAGTTTATTAAAATGTTTTCTTTCCTTCCCTCACATTTTATAAATATGAAGAGACAGGAAGCCGTAAAGCATTCCTTTTGAATACACTAATTATTACTCTGGATAAATCCGGAAATCCTATACGCTATAGTAATTCAATCAATATATACCTGATATTTTGGACACGAGTTCACTAATCGTTGTCCTTACCATATTTTCTTCAAATGAGGAATACATGCTTCCATCAGTATGGGAAAAAAGATATATAGAAATATATTAGTGAGTGTCCAAAGAAAAGCAACCATGTGCATATAGAACAGCATCAACCAAAGCTGCACTCTACAAATAGAAGCAAATCGATAGGTGGAATAAAAATCCATTGTCAACAATTTTACTTCAGTAGATACATATCATGAGGAGCTTCACGTAAAACCGGTTCTTTTATTTTTTTCAGATTTTTTCTTACGAATTGCTCGTAGTTTGTGACAGCTTGAAATATTAACATCACCCTTTGCTAACAATGTAGTCCTAAACATTGAGTATATTGACCATATTGTCGAAGATTCAAATGCTCTAGACAGTTCTCCGAAGTACGCCATCATATTATGTCCTGAAATAAAATGTAGGTACCTTGTTGGGTTGTCGCCACCCGCAAGTATGTTGATTCAAAAAGTAGTACGGAATATGTATTTTTCGTGTTAATCGTAGTAAAATGATAATTCATTCTATTTCAATATTTCAACTTTTCTCTAAGATAACATAACTGACATAAACCATCACAGTATATTTCGCATACATTTAGGGTATCTAGAGAAACATGAGTCTTTTAGTCAATCACAAATGTTTTGTTTGTGACAAATACAAAATTACTACCGACATTTCAGAGAGTAATACACTTTGCTAATATTTTTACTGTTTCCGCCTTCCTTCAAAGCTTATTATCGAAGTTATCTTTTCCACTAAGAATTGAAATTGTATGATCAACACATTGATTGCCATCCCGTCAATAGGTCACTCATTAGTCGGAATATTTATGAAATGAAGATATATACGTAAAAGAGATAAGCTCAATATATTTACACGAATCCATAATAATAACAGAAACAGAAATCCATCTAAAATTCACGTGTAAGCACAGAATCGATGGCCAGAGTCCGAACATTGGAATAAACAGTGTTTTCCAAAGGAAAACATTTTCCAGTGGCTCCATAACAGTGAAAGTGTGAACAAGTTGAAGTCGATCATTAAAATATTATTGGAATGTTGGGGCCAAGATTGTTAGGAATATGTGGAGTTGGAATTTTTCAAGTTCCCGTTCAAGTGGCTGCTCTTAGGCCAACAGTGCTAACTGGGCTCAGGTTTTCCTCATCCAGCACTAGATTATGGACACCTGCTCAGGTAAAAAATATTTTTGATATTGTTTATGTATACAAAAACATAATAAAACATTTTGTATTAATAATACTTGACTTTGTGAATTTTTAGTGGCTTAACCTAATTTTCGGAAATCATGTTTCAAAATTTCTTTCCAAATATGATATTATTGCAATTGGTGAACAAAATTTTGAATATTAATACAAATTATACGATACTGTAAAAATCAAGAAAAAAAACATTTTCCGATTATTTTTGGTGTAAAAATTTTGAAATAACGAAACAATTCTTTGTTTTGTTTCAGTTTTCTATGATTATATCAATCTATATATATAAATGCGAAAGTCACTCACTTAACATCACTCAGTCATCTCTGTTTCTCCATATGGTGAGTCCTAGGAAGCTGAAATTTAGTATATAATAAAGGTGCTTCTAAGATCTTCTCAGCAGAAAGAACGGATTTTAAAATAATCAAACAGGGGTATCAAAGGGGAGCGAGCGTTTACATATGAAAATTACTTTTTCATTACTGTTTCTTCGTACCACTATATTTTCGTAGGCTGAAATTCTGTATGTAGGTTCGTTTTATGTTGTAGATGTGCGATAAGAAAGGATTTTTGAATATTTCAACTGAGGCGCCTACCGCAGGGGGAAAAGGCGAGTTCATAAAATAAAGTTACTTGTTCATCAGTGTTCCTCCACACCTTTGAATTTCCGGTGGGTGAATTCATATTTAGTACCCATGCGAAGCCGGGGCGGGTCGCTAGTGTGTATGCGTTCCTACATAGTTCAACCTAGTTCTCAATTAGGATGCAGAATTATGCATATTTCATCCTCACTCATTACAGGGCCACCCTAATGAAACACAAAAGTTTCTGAAGCCCATCACGAAATTTATTGTTGGAACTAGTGCATTGGAAAAATTATACAAAATCCCCTGTGATGGTGTCCCACTAAAAAAAAAACCCAGTGCAAGTATTGCTGTTCCTTTAGACTTCTCGTATGCCCTGAATGGAAAACCTTCATGTTATTTATTATTCTGTAATTTCATTCAAAGGAGCGTTATTGAAACGGAACTCAATTGGCATTAATTTTTCATTGCGTTCAAATTATGAAATATTTCGAGGCTATCTCACATGATTGTTGTTGAATAAAATGGTTCCATGATTTGACATATCATGATTACTTTATGGATTGTCTCACATAAAAATAATAATGAAGTCTATTGGGATTCGAGCAACGGTTTCAAAAAGTATCCAAATAAAGTAGTTTAGACAATTGAATCGGGTGATTTCGGATACCATTCAATTGCTCCTTTTCTATCAATACATGTATTGAAGAACCTCTTATTTAGTCACTGTCGAGCAGAAAAACAGTAATGCTGGAGAGTAAGGTGAGATAGTAGCCGGTTGGTTTGACGTGGGTGGTTTGCTCCACTCACTCAATCGCCCGCTGTGTGAACCGGTGGTTCGAACCGCAAGGCCGGACGATCGATTTCCACTTTTTTTCTGGTTGACAGAAAAAAATATTCAATAATAATAATGAACGACTTTATTGCTTCTATATATAGAATGAAAAGAATACATATATAATGTGAATTTGGCCCAAAGCAAAAGGCGAAGTTCAGTTTATTAGATGATATAAAATCAGCTGATAAACTGTTCTTCCACGTAATCTCAAGTATATCGCTAGATGTGTTGAACTTAACAATATAAAAGAATAAAAGAATCAAGGTTAAACAATTACAGCTATTTCTAATCTAATTTTCATCGTACGTATATCAGGATTGCATCGAAAATAAGTGTTTCTTATAGGCCTTCTTGAATCTTTGCAAACTGTAGGATTTGAACATGGTAGGGACCTGATTGTATATTGAACACATTCGATAAGTATAACTACGCCTGAATATTTCTAATTTGATTCCCATGTGAGGTTTAAAAAACACACCAATTCATTCAATGAGCCTATGCCTCCCTCAAACTAATATATGGTAACAGGCATTGCCAATAGAATTGAAAAATATGTGAGAGCTTAGTGCTAGCACAATTGAATTCTGATACTCTTTATGGGTCGAATCTGACAAGTCATTATAAACCAAAGAAACCGGTATTCTTGTTTGAGATTTATAAATATATGGAATAAGAAAAAGAAACAGAATATCTGACAAGCTCAAGGAAGTTGGATGGCTAAATATGGAAAATAGGAGAAAACTGCATGTTGCCCGTCTTTATCTTATATGAAGCCCCTTCGTATCTACACAGAAAAGTGACGTTTCGAATCGATGTTCATGATATTAACATCTGGTTCAAAGGCTCTTTAACACCTCTCACACAATGAACATTTCATCATTCCACTCTTCTATCTTCTTCTATTATTTTTTTCCTATTTGGGTGATTCATGATCAATGATTGTTTGCTCTGTTTTGTATCATAATATTTTTAGCTACATCGTCAGTCACTGATATCTTTTCATTAATTCATATATCTACTTATGTCGATTCTGTGCTACTTTATTTCCCAATCACAAACTTTTTTTAGGTTAAGTTGAATAACAGTAGCAATTATTTGCAAAGCTGGGAAAATTGAACTTGGCCTTTTGCTATAATTTCAAATATGTAATTATAACTTGATACTGCAATGTACATAAATATGGTAAATATATTGACTCATATTTGGAAAGTCCCGAGATAATATATTGTGCATTTAATGAAATTCTGTATAGAACTATTCTTCCATGGTCCTACATATCTTTTGTGACCCTACTCACTTTTGTGAACAAAATAGAGAAAAATACAACTATACATGAACGAAGTAGACAAAAAACAAGGAAGATTAGGAAATACCCTCAATCCCTAATCACGTCTGGCAAATATTAGAAACAGAGACATGCATGAATGAAATATGTAGGACAAAAGACATATGTTGGGGTCAGAAGCAAAAACAAAGAATCCAATATATTGTTTTGCTGACGACAGCACATTTTTCCGTCATTTCATTTGGATTCCAGGACATCGGTACGGATGATTGCACATCTTTACCAGCAGCAGGAGGTTAGTTATGTCTCAATAAGGTTCTAGTGATTTCGAATTGGGGTGAAAGTAACCAGGTTCAATTCAATGCTACGACAAGCCAGGCATCGGTTTTCTCCAAAACGATAAATATCTCCGAACCAGATATAAAAATGTCAGGACAGATCAGTTTGTTGGGGTTGAAATGGACACCAATATATCTTGGCACAACCATGTCGCTGGAATTCCAAAGGCTTCTTCTCAGAAGATTGAAACACTGTTCCGAACCAGAAAACTGCAGACACCTCAGCAACTTTTAATTCTTTATAAAGCTCAGATCAGACCTTCTTCGGAGTATTGTTCTCATGTATAGAGCTCCGCCCTGAGCATACCCTGAAGCTGCTGGATTTCGTCCAGAAAAGAGCCACGCCTGATTGGAGACGCGAACATCACTTGCAACCTTGATAGTCTGGAACATCGCAGAAAGGTTGGGAATTTGTCTGTCTTCTATTGATACTTTCACGGGAAGTTTTCAAATGACTTGACACATTTGATTCCACCAAAAACGATACATTTCAGGAATACGCGACGAACTGTGGCTGGTCAACGTTTTGAGGTTCAACTCAGTACACATCGAACTCCACTGAATAAACTTCCTGAGAACGTTTTTCCAAATGGATTTATTCTCCAACGATTCAAAGCCAATGTGAATCGTTACTTTCGCACAGGTACCGCTCTTAGAGCGCCTTAAATATTTTCCAGTAGTGCAGAAGAAGCTACGAAATGACATTGTAAGAGAAGTTGAGGCTTCACTAATAAAAAACAGTTCAATATGTAGTAGGGATATTTAGACAGATGCAAGAAAAAAATACATTGAACTGAATGATTTGTTTCAAAGTAGCAAATGTCAGAAAAGTTGTTTATTTTTTGCAAAAAATTGCACTTAGGCGGTTTTGACTCTTAAAATATTAGCAAGATGAAGCAATATGAAAATATTTTTGGAAAAGATGTGCATAATAATGAACTTATATTAATTCACTATAAGACTCGATTAACATATATTCGTGTTCTAGTTGAAATTACTCTTCTTCCAACCGTGCCTGGCGACCTAATTGTGATTTCTCGTATGTATCCTCTTATTTGAACAGTCTTTCTTTTATTTCCTTTCATGACCATTAGGCTTTAGGTCCAAAACAAGCACTGTTCTCAAACACCAGAATCACAACACTATTCTCGACGCGTGTTTCACCCACTAAGTTGGCGTCTTCAAAAGGTGAAGTAGCTTGATTTAGTAATTATCCTGCGCCAGAGATCCAGTTCTACTTTTCATTCTGCTTTGGGGTTGTTGTTGTATAGTAATCTTCAAACTGTCATTGATTTTGCAGCTATCGGAATTTGATGAGGGAAATCACGAATTCAAGTCTCTGTTGAAAATATGCTGGTAGTGAGCTTCTTTCACGGGACTTCGGTTGCACTCTTGACAAATTTCATTATGGAGGTCACCCTTACATTTTTTGAACATTTGGATTTGGCTACAATTAGCATTATATTTAGGCAATATTTGGATGTGAGCGATTACCGGATCCAGGAGATATTTCGTTTCTTCTGCTGGTGGCGCTCCTTCACGTCAGTTGCTACAAATTCCACGGAATCATTTCATTTTACTTTCAATCGACTATCACTAATACTCTCTACATACTTGTCTGTTTTATTGAGTAATAATATTGCTATACTTTTTCTTACAACAGTCAATTTCTGGGCCTTGAGGGGCTTTTTTCAAAAATGGCTTTTCAATCGTTCCTGAGTCCCTTCAGTTTTCTACATTACGTAGAAATTGATGAGTACAACTGTCGTCGATTTTGTTTTCTTTAGAAAATTGAAGTCATCGCTGGTGGCGTATGGATCAGATGTTACTTAACACTTCGACAGGCGAAAATGTATTACTTATTGACATTACCCCACTTTTTCAGATTGCTATCAGAAATTATATATTGGTGAGTAACACACCTCAATGAACTTACCTGAACATGTTGAACATTCTTTGTTGTTGGCGAAAGTACTCTACAAAAGTATGTTAGTGAACTTCAGCTTCTCACATTGCTAGATTCTAACCCAATTTCATTTATGTAATTGAAACATCTGAATGTACTTTGGTTATTCGACTACTAGATTTGATCAGGCAATGAAGTGAATTTTGTCTTTTATTTTGCATACATGAGGCAAAATAAAAAAGTCACTCCAGCACTTTTGCTTCTCATCCCTTCTTTCAATACCTTATATACTTCAAAAAATATTCCAACATTGGTGGTTTCATGCCAAATGCGTTTTAGAGGCACCAATAGCAATGGCCTCCTATAAAAAAAGACTTCAGGTCCTCTCAGGTACCTGACCCAAATAATTGTAGTTACTGGCTTGAGAGTCCAACAATCAATACTGATAGAATTGATGAAACCAGGGTCCGAGAGCTCGTGACTCAACACCACACAGCGCTGGTTTCGACGTAATTGATAGCAGAATCAAATCTTCAACATCGACCGCTGAATGGGTTTTTTCCTCTGTCTTTCACTGCAAAGCAAATATATGAAATATGTTCGTAAGGCCCGTCATCTAACACCAGACAGAGTTTGTCTTGATATTCGTGAATTGAGTCCTATACATGGCGTTTTCATAGGGGAAGATGATATCATTCATCATTTTCACCGTGAAGCGGGTTGTTACACTGGTTATTACGATGAATGCTTGTAGCTCTATAAATTTTTCAAGTTGCCAGTTGCTAGAATGAATGCGTTGCCTTGTTTCTTGTATTGTTCTCTCCATGTGAGAACCCTTGCCTCATAAAACCTATACACCTATCAAACCTATACATATTGCTGTCCCTTCGAAAGTTTCCATTCACAAATCTCTCTTGTACTGGACTTGTAATGGAAAGCGCATTGGTGTCATGACATCCTGAAATTCTGTGTATTAGAATTTCCTGCAATGGAAGACAATGCTGCTTGAGAGGAAAAAGTTCTTTGAACGAAGGTCGAGGACCATCTAACGTTCCTTTTAATATTTTCAGAACACACGAGATTACCTATTGAGTGTTCGGAATTATTCAATGTGTATTTTGGAAAACCAGTAACAGCAATTTTCCTTATTTGTGGCACCATTTAATTAAAGTGTTACCTCATCAGAATAGACGATATTTCCAATCAATACAGAACTTTTATTGAGAAAATCCAGTATTTTCCTAAAAAATGGTGCTTGTTAATGAAATGTATTTATCGGTAGATTCTTATCGGTAGGAAGTATTTTTTTATGGATATAATTTGAAGTTGAGAAACAGTTTGGACGCTGAATTTTTTGATGTACCACATTCGATGCTTAGTGAGAAAATTCTTGCATCCATAAAAAAGTATTTGAGGCGGAATCATGTCCGACCCTAGTTTTATTTCGTTCATTTTCGAGATCGCGACTTACCTTTGATTGCAGTAATAAAAGACAATTTTTGGGAGTTTTGTTGAGAAATATATTGAATCCTTCATTGGTACGAATTATATTTCCATTAAAAATTTTACTGCTCACTTTGCTCTTACTTCTTGAATCGTGAAAAATTGATACACTAAACATTGTTTGGACGATTCAACAACTTTTCTGGAATAACGTTTTGTTTTGCTAGCTTTCAAGGGTGAAGGGATGAGGGCTTGAGAATTTCATGCTCGACTAGGGACTCAAAAATTTCAATTGACTCTTCTGAATGATTTTATGAAATATTTTTGTCAACGACTTTATGGAAATTATCCGTTACTTTTTTAAAGCACTTCATACTGGTAGTTTACGTTAAATTCACTTCGATTACATGATTTTGTCGGTTGGATTGTACTTTGGCCCGAACATTCCAAAGGTTTTATCAATATGAGAGATAACTGTAATTTGTTTTGATCGTTGATTGCATGACGTTCATTTTGCTGATAATGTTTACAAGTCTGTTGGAAAAAGAATTTTTTTTTTCAAATGTGAGTTAAAATGATTACAATGTTACTCAATTTTGGTTTCAATATTTTTAGAATACTACATTGCCGGCGTAAATTAACATTAAGGGAATTACAAAGCCTTAATTTTCAACTATTATACTAATAGTAGATGATATTACAAAAGACAAAAAACTTTGACCCAAAACCAAATACTCAACCAAATCAAATCCTCAAAGCGGTCTAAGAGCGGTGCCTGTGCAAAAGTAGGCATTCACGTTGGATTTGAATCGCTGCAAATCAAATTCATTTGGAAAAACGTTCTCATGAAGTTCATTCCACACAAGTGCAGTTCTGCAAATGGAAGAGTTTTCAAACAGTGAAGTTCGAGGTGTACTGAGTTGAACCTAAAAACGATGAACAGCCATAGTCCGTCGCGTATTTCTGATATGTACCGCGCTTGGTAGAATCAAATGTGCCAAGTCACTTCTAGATTATCAAGGTCGCAAGTAATGTTCGTGTCTCCAAGCAGGCGGATAACTCTTTTCTGGATGGAATCCAGCAGCTTCAGGGTATTCTTAGGGAAGCTTCATACATGTGAAAATACTCCAAAGAAGGTCTAATCTGAGCTTTCTAAAGCATCAAAAGTTGCTGGTGTTTCAAGCTTTTGAGAAGCAGTGTTTGCAATTCCAGCAACATGATTGTGCCAAGACATATTGCTTTCCAATTCAACCCCAAACAAACTTATAGAAGCAATTGTCTGTATCCGGATCAGAGACAATCATCTTTTTGGAAAAAATTGATGCTTGAGTTTTCTTGGCATTGAATTGAACCTGGTTACTTTCTTCGCCTCAAGCAATTGTCTGTCCTGACATCATTATATCCGTTTAGGAGATATTCATTTTTTTGGAGAAAACTGATGCCTGGGTTTTCGTAGCATTAAATTGAACCTGGTTATTTTCACCCCAATTCGAAATCACTAGATTCTGATTGAGATATGTTACCTCCTGCTGCCGGTAAAGATGTGCATCCGCAGCCGATGTCCTGGAATCCAAATGGAATAGCGAGATAAGTGAGCTGTTGTCAGCACATTTGTTTTTCCGATAATTCGTTGATATACAACAAAAAGAGGGTTGGAGATAATATGACTCCCTAGGAAACACCAGCGATGATGGTGAAAGTTTTCGAGAGATATCTTCCAGGAAGTTGGAGAGCCATACACAAAAATGATTCAACAGGACACAGCATCGAAGTTTGGCCAGCAAACCCTCATGTCAAACACGGTCAAAGGCTTTAGAATTAGCAAGCGCTACAGCTCATGACTCTCCATGTTTCTCGATTGCATTATTCCAAATATGGGTGACATAAAATAAAAGGTCGCCTGTTGATGTTTGTTTCCGAAAGTCATATTGATGACCGCTCAATATGTTAAAACCTTTCAAATATTCAAGAAAACGCACAATAATGACTTGATTTTATCATGTTGGAATGACAGAATTCGAATTTTATCTCTCATGAGCATTTTGATTCTCTGAATTTTGAAAATTGTTCTTGAATATACTAATGGTTGGTATATATGGTGAGATATCAATATATGTTAGCAGTTTGGAGCGACTGTTATATAAATTTGAAGACTCCACTCATTCATAGAAAATCCAAGGATCCAATTTTGGTAGTCCGATAATCAACAATTACGAAAATATATTTGAAACTATTAAAAAATATTTGAGTCTGTCATTATGTACTTCAACTATTTTTCTTACAATATTTATCATTGAATTTACTTCGGAATCTAAAGATACTATTTGATAAAGACTCTTTCGTAGTGGTGTGAGTTTTTCACTGGTTCCCTTCAGATTGTAGAAGGTGATAAAAAACTGGGATTTATTCCACAAAAAATTACTTTCGTTCATATCACTAGTAACATTAATTTTTCTTCAGGTGGCATTCGAAAAAAAAGGAATTCTAGAAAAAAAACAATCAACTGTTACCGAAAGAAGTCAACTCAAATATGCAAGGAGACTGGTAATAAAATTAGGCAGTGCTGTCATCACAAGAGAAGATGAACACGGTTTGGCTTTAGGACGATTAGCTTCCATTGTCGAACAGGTATGTACATTTGAACGTAGAGTTCACAATCCTACTATACAGGGTATTTCCTAACTACGATACGAAACTTCAGAGGGTGTTTTGAGAAAACATTTCCCATGAACATATATCCGGAGTCGCTTAGTTTCTGAGATACAGGGAGTTGAAGTTGAAGAAAAGGGTATTTATGAAATAACGTCAATATCATCGATTTGGTTGAAATTTGCTACAGTTATTTGGAGTAATAAGGCACTCATTCAGCCAGAATGAGATTGAAATTATTAGATCCAGTGGCGTCTCAGTGTATACCACAGCCAACAATATTGAGAAAAAAAGGAACGCCACAGACCTTTTTGTACTTTTTTAATTTTTCAGATCAAGCAACTAAAAATACAACTTTTTCATCGCCTGTGTTTTCTACATATCAAGATTCGTTTTCGAGAAAGAAAATAACTCCTAAAAACTATTCGTAGACAACATGAAATGAAAACCGAAAGCAAATAATAAACAATTTCGACCTAAAAGTAAATGAGCAAAATGTCCACCTTATGAGAAAATAGACAACTGCAATCGATATTTCATTGATTGCGATTTGGGTAGGTGATGTCGAGATGCTGACAAACAAGAACACTAAACTGAGCTGTAGCCCCGTCGTGCATAAACCACATGTTACCTCTTACAAGAACCGGTTCTCCTTCTAACAAAATGGGTAAATGATATCGCAAAAAGTTCGAGTAGTATTCATCTGTTAATCTTGATGGTAGAAAAAATGGGCCAATTATGTAGTCATCATTCATTCCTACCCAAACGTTCAGCAAAAATTCTTGCTAAAAAAGACTTAATAATAATGTGTGGATTTTTGTCGACCCAAAAATGGTCATTGTGAAACCTTATAATAGCATCTCGTGAAAAATTTTCTCAGTCCTTAAATGAAATATTTGGTAAAAAATTATTATTCTGTGCCATCGTATGAACCACCTGCAGTAGAGCTTGGACCCGCTGTATGTGATATGGGTTTCTTGTTAGAACTGTCCATACGACTTTTGGGCTGACTTCCAGCTGCAGTGCAATCTTCCTGGTATAGAGAGCTTCTTCTAGTTTAGGCGTTGTTACAGTTTCTCGTTTTCCACCACCCACATTTCTATTAAAACTCATAAATGAAGTATATGTCAGGCATTTAATCTTTAGTAAGATCATTCATGATGGAATCACTGCTAATTGACAACAGTGTAACATTCAACTATGTACTGGGTGATGAAAGTTTAACGCGAATCACGGAATCAAACGATCTGGGGGTTTTGTTTGATCAAAAACTGACGTTTTCAATTATTTTCAGAATGTAATATCAACTTCAATGAGAAGTCTGGGTTTCTTGATACGCAACTGCAAGGAAGTTAAGACATTTCATTTTTTGAAAACAGTTTACTAACACTGATCAGGAGGAAATTAGAGTACTGCAGTGTCGTTTGAAACCCGTCCCATATGAAACATATATTTAGAAAATGTTCAAACAATTTTTGAAATATGCATATTGCAAAAAACATGGTGCTTATCCCGAGAGGGTTTATAGCTATAACTCATTGTTGGAAGAGTTCCAAATGATATCTCTAAAAAAATTCAGGCAAAGCCGTGATATGTGTTTTGCACACGAAATAATACGTGAACAGATAGATTTCTCGCCTCTATTGTCTCGAATGCCACTCAGTGTACCGCGTGTTTCATCTAGATTCTGTAGCATATTTCATATCCCGGTTTTCAATACACTGCATCATTTTCATTCTTTCATAACTACTATGTCTAGAAGTGTTAATAATGTCCCTAGTGTAGATATATTTTTTCAACGTTCAAACAATTCAAAAAATAGGTTCTCCGTTTCATTCAAAATTGATCTTACTATATGTATAATTATCATAATTCTAATTGTATACACCCATAAACGGGCTTTTGGGCCTGCTGGATGTATTGAATAAATAATTGAATAAAAGAATAAATAAATAAATAAACTCTGGCTTTCACTGATATGACAACACTGTCACTCTGAGCTGGTCTCCAAAGCAGATGTTCATGATATGCAAATTGGCTTCAATTTTTTTTTCTCCAAAACGAAGCTAGATATAAAGAAAGCACAAGCAACGAATATTTTCAGTTGAATAATCTTAAAAAAATGAAAAACTACAGGAACAAGTCAGTGACGTATTTTTTTACCTATATTGTTGGCTGTGGTGTCCACTGAGACTCCACTGAACCTATTAATTTCAATCTGGTTGAGGCTAAATTGGCATCTTATCACTTTGAATAACTGTAGCAAATTTCAACCGAATCGGTATAAAGATTTTTATGATATTCAATAAACAGAACTTTTTTTCAAACGACCTAACGAATCAACCTCTGAAGTTTCGTACCGTAGGGAGGAAGCACTATGTATTTCTAAACACGAGTAAGATCATTCGGATGATCATTAAAATGTATAGACCAACTAACTTTCGCCAGTAAGAAATGGTAACAGCAATTGAAGTTGTCTGTCAAAATCAATTGATTAATTAATCATCATCGTCATCTTTATCACGAAAGAATCTCTGTGAATATCTGTGATGACGTCATGGCAACAGAATTCAGAGTGGGGACGGAGTGAGGGAGTAATAGGTAGGAAAAAAGTGAAAGAGGAATAGAAACTTGGAGAGGGAGATATAGGTATCACACAGCTCCACGCATTAAACTTTATCGACAAATTTTTGTTATTTCGGCTTGCGGAAATCGTCAGATTATATATTTTTCGTAATCCTTGAATTATTTCCTTCAAAATAAAAGAAAATTAGCCACGCTCGAGAATGTCGAAATGACGTTATTCTTTTACTAATTTGCTGCCCTCCCCTTTCATTACGTCACTCTCAAATTGTCGGATTACTGGAATATATACTTTTTAGCATGTAATTAACTCACCCTACCTTAAGCTGACGCGCACGAGAATTTCTGATCAATTTTTTTTTACTAATCTGATCCTTTATCCTTCACGGGCGGCCTTATATATGGGGCTCATATTTGGTAGAGGTACTTAACCGTGTACAAGGTATCCCTCTGTATATTAATCTGCCGCGCTTTAGTAAATCCAGAAATCCCCGCTTGGGCTCCCCTATTATCATGTTTTATCTACACTTCTTTCATTATTCATTCATATTATTGTCATTAATTGTAGAATAAATATCGCAGCATCTCAAGATATGAGTTTTGGTGTTGAAAGTGGCAATACAGCCCAACAAGCTGAGTTTAGTATCTTTACGTAAATATAAAAAAATGTATAAAATTGATGCAGGTCAAAACAGATGTAGAGGAGGTTTTGATTGCCTATTTGATTACCCGTTTCTCTCACTTTGACACAGATTTGTCACTTCGGATCAAAAGTACCGTGGAATACAGAATTATTGAAGATTTCATAGCATTCTGATGTAGACGGCGATGAAATGCTAATTTGGGCACATTATTCATGAATAGCGTTGCGTTTGTAATCAAATAATAGACAGAGTTGATCCGTGGCACATGGCTGGGTAATGAATTTAACGTTTCAGTTGTGTTTAAAAAAGACAATCCTAAGTGAAGCACAAGCATTACCAGCTATGGGCAAAAAATATATCTGTAATTTCTGCATGAAAAATCACTCCAAGGAGTTTTTGTTCGCCATATGGTGTTTATATTACATTGACCGAATTTCCTGTTTACAGGTAGCCGAATGTCAACTTGAGGGCAGAGAGTGTATAATGGTGACCAGTGGTGCTGTAGCTTTCGGGAAGCAGAAACTTACTCAAGAACTACTTATGTCCCTTTCTATGAGAGAAACACTTTCACCGCTAGATCATACGAGAGAGGTAAGGATGTTCTTGAAAAACATTAATTTTTGTTATAATTGCATTTTTTCTTTCTAAGGATGCTTCCACACTTCTCGAACCTAGAGCAGCTGCTGCCGTTGGCCAATCAGGTCTTATGTCATTGTATGAAGCCATGTTTTCCCAATACGGAGTGAAAATAGCTCAAGTTCTAGTCACAAAACCTGACTTTTACAACGAAGAAACTCGCAAAAATCTGATAAGTACATTGACAGAACTGATCAGCCTCAACATCGTTCCTATCATTAATACAAATGATGCTGTATCACCACCTCCACAAGTTGATGAGCCTATTGGTGGTAAGGCTGGTAAAAGAGGGATCTCAATTAAGGATAACGATAGCTTAGCGGCCATGTTGGCAGCTGAGGTTCAATCTGACCTACTCATTCTCATGTCAGACGTAGACGGTATCTATAACAAACCACCATGGGAACAGGGAGCCAAGTTTTTAGATACGTTCACATCAGATCTGAGGCACACGATTGAGTTTGGACAGAAGTCTAAAGTTGGCACTGGCGGTATGGATTCGAAAGTTAATTCTGCCACGTGGGCGCTGGACAGAGGTGTTTCAGTGGTGATTTGCAATGGTATGCTGGACAAAGCAATAAAAACGATATTGTCCGGAAGAAAAGTTGGAACCTTCTTCACCGAGAATACTTTGAGTGGTGGTGTCCCTACGGAAGTGATCGCAGAAAATGGTGGGTATAGTTTTGGTTTATTACAGTACATTTAATAATTAAATAAGTTCCATAGGCTGTTAAATATTGTTTACTTTCTGATAAAGCGATCTTTGTCTGTGCTTAGTGGAAATTATGTGTGCTCCATACACACCTTCTAGATTCACACCTTCGTAGTCCAGCAAATTACCATTCTCCCATTTCAATTTCCACTCTCTACTTAGAAGTTGACCCTCAACTGGGAGTTGCTTCTACCCTAGGGGAGGATGCCATCCCTTCTCGGAGGTAAAAAATGTTTAATTGAAAATAAGGCCGGAAATAGATAGATTAGCTAATATTGTTCTTCAAAGTTTTTTTTCCATACTTTTTGACTCGAAAGTGTCAATTTATCAATCAATTTATCCACGTTTTCAGGCGTTTTTCGAGAATAACTCAAAAAGTAGGTATTTCATCAACAATATCACTGTCAGTAAAAATATAGCTTAGAAAAACAAATAATGGTGGTCTTATGGTATCTGTACATTCAAAACAATCGGGATTGCTTGTTGAAGGTTGGTTATCATTCATTAAGAGCCAAAATTGGCAGTTTAAAGTGAAGTAATAAAAAAAAAATAATGCATTCATGAGAAAAACTTATACGATCGATGTCCAAGGTTGGTTTCGCAACTGCTTTGAGGAGCCTCGTTTATCTTCGATATTCAAAATTTCAGTTCTCTGTGGATCTCATAGATGACGTCTCCGAAAAGGGAGGTGTGATTGCCATCACCTATTCAAGCTTGTCCAGTTGGGCCCAGCAGTACATTTGTGCCAAATATACACAATTATAGACTACTGCGATATTAGCAGCAAAGAATTAGTGGATGCATATAAATTTCATGCAAAAATTGGACCTGAACATGAGAAACGAAAAACCCCAACTTCACCGACCTATTGATAGTGAGACAGACATCAGTGACATGGATTTCAATGATAATATGTCAAAAAAAAAACCGAGAGGCAAAAGCTCCAAAAAAAATCCCATCCACGACGGAGTTTCCCAGCGAAACGCAAAAATTTATGAAGAAAGCCGAGATTAGCTCAACAATCCAAAGAGAAAAAGTTCGGAAATTCCCAGATCGATCGGACCAGCAACCCAAAAACCCACGCTTCGTCACTACAATCGGGTGTGTTGCCGGAAGACTCCAGACAGAGGCTAGCACAGGTTGCCGAGCCGGCTAATCTAAACACAATAGACGACCCATTGCCTGAATCAATGGAACACAAGACACGGATGCCCTGGCTGAAACACAAGAACACAAGACACAGGCTGAAACACGAAATAAGCGGATAGGCCTCCTCCTGTAACTATCTGCACCAAAGAGAAATGGAAACCTTTTACCACGAACGCACGCTGCGACTTCTGTTTACAGGGCCACAAGCCAAAAACAGACGTTAAGGAAAACCTCTGCTGCCCCGTTACAAAAATCAACACATCAAAGACCCAATTAAGGTCTTTGATATGTCTTACCTTTTAACGTGTGATTCCTAACACGTTGGACGATAGCGAGTAAAAATCGATCGTTTAGACTAGGGCTTGACTGCCTTGTTGGTCGGTGGTTCAAGCCCTAGTCTGAACGATCGATTTTCACTTGCTATCGTCCAACCCGTGTTAGGAATCACACGTTAAAAGGTAAGAACTCGTTAATTCTTAGCTCGCACAAGTTTCGACTTCTGAGGGTTGTCGATCGTAGGGGTGCGACAGCTGGTTAACGGAAAAAACAGATTTTTTATAAACAGGTAAGGTGCCGAAGGCCCAACATCTGACTGACAAAAGGACAACCGGAGTACATTTGTACTCCAGCCTAATGCCACCGGAGAGACTCCATAATCGATAAATTTGAATTTGTAAAATAATTTGTAAACGTATCACAACTCGTAAGATAGATTCATCTGAATCTTTTGGCAAGCTAAATCCCGATACTTGCTAAACGGCAAAATCTATGAATTGTTCTGACGGAATTGAAATGAAGAAATGTATTAACAATAGTATTTTGTTATGAATGAGGATGAAATAAATTATTTGTTGAACTGAATTATTTTAATGTGAGCACATTTTCAATAATTTCAGTATTATCTAATATCCAATTGTGTAATGTTTTTTTGAATGCTGTTTATCTCAACTTTTCAATTTATCGTGGAATTATATTGTAAATTTTGCAACCAATACATATGCAGTATTATGAATAGACTTGACAGATTTTAATGAATTTTTATATAAACAACCCCAAGCTGATTTCATAGGTCATAATATTGAAAAATAATGAATGATATAACATCAATTAAGTTTTCACTTCTCAAAAGTCTGAACTTACGAAGACATTTCCTTAATTTTGTTGTTAATTCAAGTGAATGTTTTTTCCACTTCAGGCAACAATCTTTATAAATTCCTAAATATTGTATTTCTGGGGTTCTATCCAATTCAAGAATACAATTACATTTTCGAAAATGTTTCTGTAAATATTCCGAACTATGAATTTTTATTTCATCAAATTCTGGTTGATATTTTTCACTACATGAAAATGTCATGAACTTAGTTTTTGTGATATCAAGTGTGAGCAAGTCATAACTCAAGTTATGTTTCAAAATTGACGTGAAAACTTCAGGCTTTGATATGGTCTCATCACGGGCTTGGAAGAAGGCATCTGTCACCGCTATTTTCAAAAAAAGGCTCTAAACTCAATCCAATTAACTACAGGCTCATTAGTCTTTCATCTGTACCTTTCAAAGTAATGGAATCCATCACCGTAGAAGATATGTCAGAATTTTTAACAAAAAACGCAATCATGCCACCAGAACAACATGGTTTCGTCAAAGGTAGATCAACCACCAGCAATCTACTACAATGCATGAACGATTGGACGACAACTTACGATAGGAAAGTACCGACAGATATCGTTTATCTTGACTTTGCCAAGGCTTTCGACAGGGTCCCAGTGAGGAGGCTAATGCACAAACTTGACACATAGGTATTCGAGGCCGACTAAACCTATGGATTGAAAATTACATGACAGATAGAACTTTCTCAGTCAAAGTGGGTCACTCTTTTTCTTCGCACAGACACGTCACAAGTGGAGTTCCCCAGGGATCTGTTCTTGGCCCGTTCCTTTTCGTTGTTTATGCAAGTGATCTTGCTCTTCACATAAAGTCCAGCAAGTCGTTTTATGCCGATGATACTAAACTGTATGGAAATGCCTTAGTCGAATATCATTCCCTTCAAGAAGATGTCNTTCGACAAAACAAAAACTTGAGTTGTCAAAATAAGAAACATTTTGAAGACTGGCGACTGTTTTTGTCAACAACGAAATGTTCCCTTGGTAAGCGAAAAGAACAAGGGGTTTCGGTGTTCATCTTCTCAACAATGATCTCATCTAGTATCTTGTTTCTTTCTACTTTCCTCTCGCTCGAAAAGTTCGATAATAATAGCAGCCCACTATGAAAACATAGTCTAGAGAAGCTATGATGAAAATTGTTTGTGTATTGGAAACGACTGAGAACATTTCACACAAAACACACGTGTCAGTCTAGTTTTTCTATGTTTCTCTTGGAATTCAAGTTTCGAATTTGTTTTCGAAACTTTTTCTGTTTTTGGAAACGAAACTAGTCGCAAGCAAGTCCGACAACGATTCATTGAAAAATGCTGTAGAGTTGGTGCGGTCAGCAATTACGGAACTGAATGTAACCAAGGCAAACGCAATTAGTAGGGAAAAAAGATGAATCAAATAATTTAGATATTTGGGTATTGGAAAATTATATGTTTCAAATCTGCCGTTGGACTGAAACAAATTGCAGACAGCAGTCACAATAATGTCGGAAGGGTGCTCAGGCGGACCAAGCTTGCAGATGGCCTCGAATTGAAACAAATAACAGTACCTATCGGCGTACTCATGGTCATATTCGAATCGAGACCTGACTCTTTACCGCAAGTTGCTGCTCTGGCAATTGCCTCTGGAAACGGATTGTTACTCAAAGGAGGCAAAGAAGCTGCACACAGTAATAAAGCCTTGATGGAACTGGTGAAGGAGGCTTTGAACACCGTAGGGGCAACCGAAGCTATTTCGTTGGTATGACTTTTTCTGATTTTACATGATACTAGCTATCTCGGCAAACATCGTTCCGCCTCAGAAATAATAAATGATGAGTTAAGTTGATAACTGAGTTATAATAACTCCACCAGGGCATTTTTATGCTTAACAGTAAATATTGCGTAAATGCGATTGATTCATTCGCAATATTCCGCAGACTAATTTCACTACGACTTTGTTGGGAAATATTATATCTTCTCATTTGCGGTATTTTTGATAACACCGTGTTGATTGTTGCTGACTTCGCTTCTGTTATTACATAACAATTATTCATGCGCTCGCACAATAACAAATGTCATAACCTCAAATGTCTGTGCGCGAACCATAAACAAGTGTCATTACTTAACAAACCGAATGTCTTTCATTTATTTTTTTTCGAATGTTTCAAAAGCTATTCTACTAATCCGGGTGAAGACAAATCCAATAAATCAAGAATCGGTTCAGTCGTTCGATTCATAATTCAATCGTTTGTCAGATAAGCAATTTAATATCCGTGGTGAGATTATAATAGCTAATCAAAATCAATGTTCTCCAAAAAAAAAGCGTTATCACTTTTCTTTCAACTGAAAGTGAACACGTTACAACATAATTCCGTTTATTTTTGAGACCATTCGAGAGAAGGAATAGTGGTAGATAGGCTATCACTACCAATTCTTTTTCCCTGAGAGTAATGCAGCCCATAGACGATACATTTTGTTGAACTACCTGTCGTATAATAATATACCTAATATATGTATAAGGTCTTACAACAGGGACTTCCAATTTTTGACAATTGATAACGGCCATTTTGTTGAAGCTACGTCTGTCAAATTAGTTGTCAATTATTCAGTCTGTTTTGCCAAATCACTATGGACGGATATAACATTCAACAACGCGTGCAAATAATAAAATCACATGTTTCATCAAAATGGATGTTCTGTTTGGGCAACTTACCGCGCGCTTTGCCCGTTTTACGGTTGCCATAATCGTCCTTCTGAGAGGACTATTCGCAATGTGGTGGATAAATTTAAGTTTACAGGTTTGGTAATCAATGGACCAACACCCGTACATCACAGAACCTGAAGTTTCTCATATTTCAAGGTAACCGCAATGAATTGCATATCACAGAACTAATATATTTTAAGTGTTACCTAAAGGCGGAATTCCACCAAATGGACAAAACACAACAAAACTGCAACTGTGTCGATTTCGACAAAACAAAAACTTGAGTTATCAAAATAAGAAACATTTTGAAGACTTTGTATCACGGTCGACTGTTTTCGTCAACAACGAAATGTTCCCTCGGTAGGCGAAAAGATCAAGGGGTTTCGGTGTTCATCTTCTCAACAATGATCTTATCTAGTATCTTGTTTCTTTCTACTTTCCTCTCGCTTGAAAAGTTCGATAGTAAGAGCAGCCTATTATTAAAACATAGTCTAGAGAAGCTATGATGAAAATTGTTTATGTAGTGGACACGACTAAAAACATTTCACACAAAACACACGAGTCAGTCTAGTTTTTGTATGTTTCTCTTGGAATTCAAGTTTCGAATTTGTTTTCGAAACTTTTTTCTGTTTTCGGAAACGAAACTAGTCGCAAGCGAGTCCGACAACGATTCATTGAAAAATGCTGTAGAGTTGGTGCGGTCAGCAAGTACGAAACTGAATGTAACCAGGGCAAATGCAATTAGTAAGGAAAAAAGATGAATCAATAATTTAGATATTTGGGTATTGGAAAATTTTATATGTTTCAAATATTTCCTCCACGAACCAGCTGTTATCTCTCTACGAATCCTTAGAAGTAGCAGAGAAGTAGAAGAAGAGATGAGGATCAATGAGATCTTACCTTCCAATGTGCGATCCCTTGCACGGGACCTATATGAAGACCTATATTTTGCTTTCATATGGCTGGTTGAACTACAATACCACACACATCGCAATTATCGTTCAAAAGGTTAGACCATTCAAAATCAAACAACTTGTTGTTGTATAACGAATTGTAAGAGTATTGTCTGTGGGTTGTTTAAAATCAATGAGAACGGATCCAACAACTGAATATTTACTAGGGCCACATGAAACTACAAAAAGTTCGCTTTTAGAAATTCAAAAATATGTAGCCCTTTCATATAGTCAAGGAATTCGTGAAGAAAAACGTTGGAATTTACTTTTATTGAATGACTAACTATATCTATAAAAACATTGATGATAAAATTTTACATTTAAAGTTTCAACAATATTCATTCAAATGTAATTAATTTGAAAAAAAATATTTTGTGAAAATTTAATGAAAATGCGCTTTTTTCATATAAGAAAGACTACAAGAAAACATTTCGGGTTACTAAAAAGACTTGGTATTTGTAGCAGATCTGTATAGTGTACAAATCAACGGCTCACTTACTGAAAACACTGCACTAGATTTTACAATTATTTTTTAGGTATCAACAAGAGAAGAAATCGGGGATCTGTTGTCAATGGAGCAACACATTGATTTGATCATTCCAAGGGGCAGTGGAGAATTGGTTCGCAGTATTCAAGATCAAAGTAAACATATACCAGTCATGGGACATGCTGAAGGTAAAACCCAATTGTAAAATCATTATTCGAGTATATTCAGTATATTCTAGAACGAGTGGAATTTGAAGCCTTCAAAATACGAGCGGTTTTTTCGAGTGTTTTAAAGACCAGTTAACCACGAATATTTCACGCTATTTTTTTATTGTTACGCTTTTGAATCTAGGCGACTACTATTATAATCTTTAAGCAGTCATTGTTCACTGTGGTTCTGGCGTTGAATCTGGTCATTATTTCGCCTTGGTCAAAGACGAAACGGACTGGTTTAAGTTTGACGATAGTCGTAAGATATCACGTGTATCAAGTGTTTTGGCGATGTTTTAGGAAAGAGAGGACATTGGCAGATCAAGGTCTTCAGATGATGTGGTGCTGCAGGTTTCTCCGGGTTTTCCTGCAGCTGAAAAAGCAAATGCGCCACTGGAATCAATGAAGTTGCTCCGGAGCGCCAAATAAGTTTTGTTGTTGTTTCATAATTTCAAAATTTGTATTGAAAATATATATCATTATGTATTATTACTACAAAAATTGAAGAAAGAAATGATAAAGTAAAATTGTTAGATGTAGTAAAATTAATTTCCATTCTTTAATGGAAATAATTGTTTTTATCACAGTTTTACCTAGTTGTATAATACTTGAAAATGAGTGCCATTACTTAGATAATATTGGTAATAATGATAATGTGCTTGGGGTACATGATTTTCGAACCCAATGTTCACTTACCCCACGGTGTGGTGTGGTTTTTGGTTAATAATGCTGACGCGCCCTTCCGAATGTACCAGGGAATGTAGGACCCGACCAGCGCAACCTTAGGGAAAAATAAGAGTAATAATAATAACAATAATACTGATGATAAAAAGTTATTTCCTTAAGAAACATACATGTTTATAGTTGGGAAAGAAAAAAAGAATAATTCTGTTTAAAATCTGTTTTTCCGTTAGTCAGCTGTCGCCCCCATATAAACGACAACTCTCAGAAGTTGAGAAACTTGTGCGAGCTAAAGAATGACGAAGTCTTACCTTTTAACGTGTGATTCCCAACACATTTGGAACTATAACATATCTAATTACGAACACAGCAAAAAAAAGTTAGACCAAAACTGAAACTGAAAAATAAATTATGGGGTTTACTTTGATAGTGTGAATATTATCTACTGAAGTTTTATCCCAATATCAAACCGTTATTTTTAGCATTTCGACACGTACTTTGATCACCAAGTGATGTGTACAATGATCATCAACATTGTACACATAAACACATCAAAATTTTTTGAGGCATTTGGTTGCTTATTGTGAATCTTGATACTATTATAATGAATCAAATGTTGTTAAGTAGAATCGCGGTCAACACCGCAAAAATCGGAAGATGATTTTGAAAAAACATACCAGGAGTTCATCAAATCGAAAAAAAAAAACAAATGGTAACGGTCACGAGCTGTCTTCGCTTACCCACGTAGCAGTGCTACTGTGTAGGCAAGGTAGTCGTGGATCAAAAATCATTTGTAGATGCATTCATGAAGGCATTCAGCAACAATGACATAGCGAAGAAAGTATACGTATTCCATATGATTGAAGAAAGTTTTCCATGGATGCATTGGACATTACATTACGTTATCAGATCGCTCTGTACCGCTCTGTCCGGAAAACTTGACTTCACTTGACTTGACTATATCGATATGCACGTGGGTAGCGTTTATATATATGGCAGTCGAAGTGCGTCGAAAGCGGTGGAGACTTCTCCGGAATTCCATCGAAACGATGCGAACATCGAACAACCGCGAAACGCTGGTTGGGGTGTCCACATTCTAGGTCACGTCACAATTGATTTACGACGGCCAGTGACGGCCGATTTAAGAAACCGAAGTAATAATATTTCAAACAATACCAACTTAACTTTCCACATTCATGAAAAAGATTGGATTGTTGGATATTCTAATGAAGCATTTGAAATATTTCATTTGATGTTACAACGTACATTCGTCAGATCAACAATTGAAAAGTTCCACGTTTATCGAGTTGTTGATGTTGCTGTGTTAACTTTACAACGACCATTTTGAAACTTCGCATTGAATAAGCAAACTAGGGTATCAATAGCAAAAATCACTTAATTTTTATAGTGATTGAAATGACGTTATGTGAGATGTGAAACGATACTAGAAACATATAAAATTAATATTTTCGTTTGTTCAAAATAGAATGTCTTATTATCAACAGTTATAAGTTTGAATGAAGTTACAAGTTTGAATGAATAGCTTGCTACATTTGATATCTGAATCCATATAGAAACAATGTATCAGATTTCATAACATCAGAAATAATGTGAAAAAACTTGTCTCAGATGAAACGAACTGCTATTTATTCAGGAACGGCTGATCCGATTTTCAAAAAAAAGGTGCCAGAAGAATAATTGAAATACCTCAAACGCCCCATTTTCCTAAAAAAGGGTCGCCCACTTGAGTAATACCACTGTCTTTTTTTTACCAAAAATTATGCATTTTATTTAAATCATCCGATATTGACATTTTGTTCTGTTCAAAAGATAATAGGAAGGAATAATTACATCTGCACTTTATGTCTACTCCCTTTTATTGAAAGATGAAATTTTGCGAACTCGCTGAGGCCAGAAAAATGAATTCAATAAAGCCCAAAACTATTATAGAAGTTTTTTGAAAATGCATTTTATTTTGAATTCAATTTTCTGGTAGCTATATATTTATTGTTGTTTTCCAATGAATCATATTTCTGAATGTATCATTCTGATTTGTGAAGATCCATATCTTTTAGGTATTTGTCACGTCTACGTGGATAAGGACGCCGATCTATCAAAAGCCGTTAAAATTATTCGCGATTCGAAATGTGATTATCCAGCAGCTTGCAATGCCATGGAGACCCTTTTGATTCATCAAGACCTCATGGAAGGAGATTTTTTCTCCGAAATATGCAACACCTTCAAGAAGGAAGGGGTTCAAATCAATGCAGGGCCCGTTCTAAATCAACTTTTGACTTTCGGCCCTCCTCTGGCTAAGAGCATGAAACATGAGTACGGTTCTTTGGAGTGCTGCATTGAGGTTGTTAAGAATATGGATGAAGCCATCAATCACATTCATACCTTCGGAAGTGGCCACACTGAAGTAATCATTACCGAAAATAGTAAGTTATGAAAATAACTGGATTTTTTTTAAAACTTGATATTCCCGATGGTTTCTGTTGCTTATTAATGTATTTTGTCCAGGTTTGATTAATAATCAAGCAATGGTAGTATTGGGAATCTGATATTTCATAGCATATTGATATATTATCGAATTCGATAAAGTATCATCGAAACATTTTCTTTATTGCCCATTTTTCATCAGCTGATTAGTTCTAGGATAATACCTAGAATGAAACATTCGATCAATTGTATGAGTCTTGTGGGCTTATAGGGTATTTTCCTTATCTCTTGTATGACACCCATTTCAACAATCTATACCAACTCCAATGATCTAGAATGAAACCCTCGATCAATTGCAAAAGTTTGATGGGCTTATTGAGTATTTTCCCCATCTTTTGTATGACACGCAGTCCAACAATCTGTACCGATTTTAACAACCTTGATACTTTATCAATTGTAGTCATATGGGCTTATTGCCTCTTTTCACTAATTCCAACGATCTGGTTTTCTGAAATAGGAACGAGCTGTTTCTGCCTTTTTGTTGCATTGTCTGCAGTTTAAGTCTTTGTTACACAGCCCTATTTTGGTCAGTTGTTCTCTCAACGAACAGTGTCCAGTGGGTAACCCTGTAATTGTTTCAGTCGATCCCTACTTTGTTGAAGTAGTTCTTCCGTTCTCTTCTCAGATAATCCTTTCATGAAAAATTTTCCGTGTGTGTTTTCGAGTATACTTTTCCATTACTCTTATGCACCTCTTGTTATACTTCAAATAGCTGATACAGTTAACTAGTGAATAGTATATAGAATAAAGTATGTTTCCGACTACCTTTTACAAAATGAATTTGAATCAACATTGAATGAATTGCAGTTAATCTTCACTTGTTACCTTCTATCCTCACGTTGCTTCACAGTTTGTTGAGACTCACTGCATTTTTGAGAGGTATACTCGACTTGATTCATGTAATTAGGCATAGCAGACTTGCTTGGATAACTGAATGAATAAATTGAATGAATAAGTGATATGTGAATATTTTAAAGTTTTAATATCATCACATTACAAAAGCATTTTCTTAAAATGAATTAATTGGAACTCAAAATACTATAAAACAAATCTTTCAACTGCGAAATAATATTGTATCACATTAATTGTTTCGTGTGATCTCTTATACAGTTTTTTCACTGATAGATTGCTGTTGTCACGCATTTTTCCGGTATACCTTCATCTGCTCTATTTCAAATATTGCTGTATTTTTGTCTACAGTTGGGGCAACAAAAAATTACAGATGCGCTATCAATTTGTGAATCCGAAATAAGTGAACAAAGTATTGGAAGTGAAATTGAAAATAAATAATATTTACTCAATGTGAAATGAATACAGTTTTAAACTTGAGTAAACAACTATTTGTGTAGAAAAGATAATTGAAACTTTCTATCTTTTTTACCACTAAAAGTGGCAAAAAACATAGGAAGTTTCATTTCTATTTTCTTCATTATGATTTCCTATCACGTAGTAACAGCTATATCCATCAATTTATTGAACTATTTGTGAACTTAGAAAGAATTGAAAGCGTAAAAACGTTTCAATTAACAAAAATACCTTACAAACGATATTATTGGCTTTAATTAACTTCGAAATGTAAGTCATTTCCCACTATATAGCTATTCCTCATCTGTGTAACGAGTACAAACTATTATCCAAACAGGAGCTGCCGCGTATTTCTGTGATAATGTATATGTAATGCTTCGTTACCTCAACAATATGTTTTAGATTTTTGAGTCTTTTGGAATTTTGATAACGTGAACCTCGTTTTGAATATTCCTCATATGGATCATTCTCTAATTGTGACATGAATATTCACAACGTAAGATTTTGAATCAATTGGTATGTAGTTCATATTTGCAGGAACACTTTTCTGTCTCTGTGGTCTTTTATGATTGCTGTGCCACTATCAGTTGTTGATTCAGGTCGTTTCTGAAATGAAAATGTTTTGAATATTTTCTTGTTTTTTTTCTGGAGAGACTCTGTCGCTTTACTTTTTTTATAGATTTTTCATTTTTGCGTCGAAATTTTGAACACGTACAGTTTTTATGATTTCCCGATGCCTTCAGTTCTTCTCCATCTCCTTTAGAAATATTGTCTGATATTGCTGATATCCCTTTCAATGCCTCAAGTTTATCCTTATCGTGATATGCCTTTCTTGATATGAACTTCATTGATACCGGAGCAATATTCATTATTCAGATTTTTTGTATGAGAAGCTGCATGCATTGGAAAATAGTTGTTTGTTCGATGATGATGAAAATAATTCAAAAAAAAAATCAATAGAAAACTATACGAACCATATGTAGAATAGCAAAGCTATAGAAAAATTAAAAATTTACAGTAAGTGAAATAATAAATGGCTTCCTCCTAAAATCTAATCAAACATTATTTCGAAGAAGAATAATGTGTCCCATTTTGATTTGCATTCCCTAATATAAAAGACATTTTTGGAGATTATGTCTCAGTAAGTTGGAACCATATAGATAACTGATTTTAGGAGAAAAGGTAATTGTCATCGAAAATCAGGTTTTGTTATTTTTTACCAATATTTCTGTTGCATATTTATTTTGATTTTGTTTATTCCAATAATGATCATTTATTTTTCGAAATCAATGTCTTCTTACTATTTTAGATATCTAATAAATATAATTGAATCTTCAGTTGTTATTATATGAACAAAATATTTTTCTCAATGTAGTTGCACATCTGTACGTGATATTTTATTAAAATCAACTTTTGATATCGTCAAAAATGAAAGTACTTTTTTCCTAAGCAAAATTAATAATTTTTGACACACCTCGTATACAACTGACAAAATTTGACAACCGTTGGTGGCATCTCAGTGTTTAGTTCTTGCAGAACTCTTTATGACAAATACCTGTATTTCTAAAATTATTAAGAAACAGTTTTTCATGTGGATGATACGATTGCAACTTACTGAGACATACTGTATATGTCTCAACATGATATAATGGTTTTTGGATTCATTTGTTATAGAGGAAAGCGCTGCCACCTTCCAGAAAAAAATCGATAGTGCTTGTGTTTTCCACAATGCTAGTTCAAGATTTGCGGATGGATTCAGATTTGGACTGGGAGCTGAGGTTGGTATCAGCACTGCTAGGATTCATGCTAGAGGTCCTGTTGGTGTTGAAGGACTTTTGACCACCAAGTGGGTTTTGAATGGGGTTGATCACGCCGCAGCTGACTTTGCGGAAGGCGGAGATCGTACCTGGTTACATGAGCCTCTACCTGTCGACCAGTAGAATCCTTTTGATGTTTTAATTGAGATATAAAAATTGTTCATAGAAAATTTTTGCCTCTTTAATGTTTCAATTTTTTCACAAAGTAGCAATTTTTTTGTAACAGAAAATTCAATTGTTGTTTTCAAGTAGTAATTTCATAACATTAAATATCGACAGATACCATTTGGAGAAAATTAGAAAAATTCCTTTCAAATTCACAGAAGTTCTAGATCTATTAGTTTATTCACAGACATTCTGCTTGAAAGGATGTATATTTGTATATTATGAATTGTTCTTAGTGTAATTTATGTAATTTCCCATGTGATAATAAATTATTTTTACTTATAATATAATTTTCCATTAACGCATTAGGAGAAAGGATATCATTGTAGCATCACTGTCTTCTTCGCCCAACAACACTATACTCTATCTAGTTCACACATGTGTAATGTTAAAAAGAACAGAAACTAGACATCACTAGACACTGAAGGGTTGAAAAAAAATTGCAGAATATGAATCAGTTGATACGTTGTCACCGACTCACTGTGTAGAACTATGTCAGATCGCTTAGTTCATTGAATTTTGACCACCTGGTATGTATCTGAAATCAAGGCGCATTCAGTTGTGCACATTGCACATGTGCACCTAACTAGGACGGTACGAGGTGGAGATAGGCACATGAAGCAAACATATTGGTCTTGAATTTTTATATATCTTGTTAAGAATGCCTCACTGGCTAACAACGATATGAAAACACTTATAACACCACCAACTTTATAATATTTATCAGTAGTCTATTTAACAAAAATGTCAGTTTCAGACTGCCTCACTTAAACATATTTCCACGCACAAAGGAATGTATCATCCTCTTATGTAAACCTATCAGGTGATATTCAGGGCTGTGTGTGTATGTGTCATAACTTGGTTTAATACCTAAGTTATTCATGTCTGTTGGTTTAATCCCCAACTTTTGTATGTGTCTGTTGGTTTAATCCCCAACTTCAACTCCCAGTCATGAATTTGGTTTAATCCCTAAATTATGACTGTTTTTTTTTCACAACTCAGTTTGAACCCTGAGTTATCCTTGTCGGTTGGTTTAATCCCCAACTTCAACTACTAATCATGAATTTAGTTTTAATCCCTAAATTATGACTGGATTTTCACTCACTAATTGTCGTCTCTCACTGTGAACGGTTTGAGATGTTCCACACCGATGACTCCCTCATAACGGTTTGCGTTTTGGCACCTTTCCGACCCTAATTCTTCACATGCTTTATATCTATCATTTCCTAAATTCTGTTTTATCTTGAATGGCCCTTTATATTTTTTGACTGATTTCATACTGTTTCCATCATTTTTGAAATTAGTTACTTTTACGAGCACCAAATCTTCTATTTTGTAAACCGGGGCTGTTTTTCGTCTCAAATTGAAAATTTTATTCTGCCTTTCACGATTTTCCTCCAATCTTTTTGCAATATCCTGCCTCAATTCGGTTACGTCAATCGCTGGGGGTTCGTGGACATGAGTGACATAGCGGTCATTCCCCAAGTTCAACTGAAACCCAATTAAAACTTCACTTGGTGTCGTCTGCATTGTTTTATTGAAAGTGCTACTGATTGCTAACTGAATTTCAGATATGTTTTTGTCCCAATCTTCTTCCTTCAAATTAGCACTCATTGTTGCAGCAGCGTCTACAATTGTCCTGTTGTATCGTTCCACCTGACCATTTGCGCGAGGCATAGCTATAGATTTTTGATAATGGCGAATACCTTGTTCATCGCAAACATTTTTAAATTTGTTGGATGAAAATGCTTTGCCTGCATCCGATATTATACGCAGTGGTACTCCAAAAATGGCTATTAATTTACGCAATTCGTTCAGAACCGGGGACGTCTTGGTATTGGGAAGAGTACTCAGAATTGTGAACTTTGTGAACGAGTTGACCATAACAAAAATGTATTTGTTGCCGTTTCTACTTTCAATAAATGGACCAACATGATAAACATGGATTGTATGAAATGGACGAGGACATTTATGAATGGAAAATAAAAATCCTGGCTTTTTCTCCGCGGGCAGTTTATGGTACTGGCAGTGTAAGCATGACTCAATATATTTTTTTACGAAATGTCGCATGTTAGGGAACCAATATCGTTCCTGCAACCTGTGAAGAATTTTCTCTACAGAAAAATGTCGCAAATCATCGTGATTGGCCTTTACTATCTGCCATCGACAGTTTTTCGGAACAAGCCAACGCCGACCATACTCAGTAAGCTTGAAAACTCGACCTGCCCTTGAATCATAATTATTACTTATATCACCTTACACCTTACATCACCTTACATCACCTCTTTCACAAAAATCAAAATAAGTGCTTCTTACCCTGGACCTCCGACCTTTACGTTTACCCGATTTCTCTCTATGTGCTCGTCATTGGGGTTCACTGCTGCTAGACGAATCTTCAGAACTTGATGAAGATGAAGATTCTGAGGAACTCGACCTCCTACGGCGTTTTGTTGAACGCCGTTCTGCCATCTTCAAACATTTAACGTGGAGCGTAAAAAAAACGACGAAGATCCCTCTTCTGAGATGTTAGGAATGCCTCACTGGCTAACAACGATATAAAAACACTTATAACACCACCAACTTTATAATATTTATTAGTTTATTCAACAACAATGTCAGTTTCAGACTGCCTCACTTAAACATATTTCCACGCACAAAGGAATGTATCATCCTCTTATGTAAACCTATCAGGTGATATTCATGGCTGTTTCATCCCGTACTCCCAACAAGATAATGTCCAGGGCTGTACAGAGCACTGATCCTAACGCAGTCCCTAACAATCTCTTATACATCTTTTTATACTGAGAACTATTCGACCTAATCCGACTTTGTTTTTCTGGAAAGAAGCATCGAGAAGTATATGTGTTATGATCACACAATACAGGTTTGTTCTGGTCCTAACATCCGAAACTGTTTGGAAACTGCGCAAGATATGATGCATACAAGCAAAAAATCTCAAACAGTCCGAAATAGTCTCGGATACTTGGTTAAACCAGAACGCATTTTGTGCCACCTATCGTATATATGAAGAGATAAAGACAGGAAAATACTGTTGATCATGTCCATTTTGTTATGTAGCGTATCCTTGTAGTCAGTTCAAATGTTATCTAACCTCAATCATCAATTATTCAAATCAAATAAATAAAAATACATCCTAGGATATAGCCCAAACAAATTTCCATATGAATGCGCAGTTCTCAACAGTTCAAATTCGAGAGCAAGAACGATTCGGGAAAGTTCAAGACAGTTTAGGATCATTTCGCAGTCGAAACCAGAACAGAGGATTCATTAATCCGTTGTTCTGGTTTGTTGTTGTAGCTATATACTAAGTCTTGTTCCATATGAAACCCCGTCCAATAAATTCAAAAACTCATGGCGAAACAATTTTACATATTTTTTTCCAGTGAGATGCCCATCCAAAAAATACGGACCGATAAACTCTTTTTCCGAGAATTCCACCCCAAAGATTCAGTGACCAACGCTGTTGATGCTTCAGGCAACGAACAAAATGGGGGTCGATTCACAGTTCCATTTTTATGAAAAATCTCTTCATCAGAAAATAACACGAAATCGAAAAAATAATTTTCCTGATTGATCTTTTCTAAGCCCCATCGGCAAAATTGAACACGTTTTTCAAAAGCTCTTCCTCTTAATTAACTCTTGCATCAATTGCATGTGGTAAGGATGAAATTTGCTTGCTCCTATATTTCAAGACACACTGGTTTGAAAAACTCCTAATTCCCTGCTCAAGTCTCGGGTGATCGCATGGGGATTTTCAACAAGGTGAAGAGCAATTTGAAACGTATTCTCTTCATTTGTTACAGGGCAGACACGTCACGTTAGAACTTTTTGTGATTGACATTACCAGTACTTTGAAATCTTGTTTTTAGATCCTGAAATGCCCTTCCATCTGATTGTCTTCTTTCGAGGAACTTCTCTTTGTAAATCCTAGATGCAAGGAGACAGGTTCCGTCACTTCCCCCAAAACATAGACCATTTGCACCATATCTTCCAATACATAATTTATAATGAAAATGGTTCAATATACACGCGAAAGAAACTTCAACACATGGTATTATTGACGTCAATCATGTCAGTCATGAATAACTGGGTTTTTAAAGAAAAAAACAGTATAAACATTCTTTAGGTTGAAACCGCCGATAACTATTATTGGATGGTATGAAAAAAGCTAACGTACTAGGGATTAGTTTGAATATTCGAAGAAAATAAATTTTTTTGTGGTTACAACAATTACTAAAACTTGGTTTAATTTGTAAAATATCGGTTTTTCGTATAGTATACCTCCGATAAAAAATGTAGTGGAATGTTGAAACATTTCATACAAATGGAAAAATACAGAGTGTTCCATTTGAAAAAGTTGAATTATGTGTGTTTGAAAATGAATGAAACTTGACCGGTTTTACCGAGCACCCTATATATTGTTATCGAAAATTGAGCTTCAAGAAATTATCATAGTGATGTTGACTAACTATTCCTAAAAAAATCCACTCAGTTGCTATAGACATGCGGGTGGCGAATTGAAAAACATTGTCTACAAAATAGGTTTTTCTGGAATAACTTGGCAATGCCGCAATGGAAATTCGAGAACAAAAATTCCTTAGAGAGCTACAAAATATGGAATGGAATGACGTATTCATATACTGAATGTATCATTTAAAAAAATATAACTTTGGTTGGCCACGCTTGGCTGAATCACCCATTATACGGAAAAATAATTTTCAAATATAGTTGTTATCGACGTGACTGCAAAAAAAATTGAACAGTTCAAAAAATTGTTCCATCTGATACCAATGGACCGAGGAAATCTTGCTGACTCACCCTGTATGGTACAGCGCTCAGGTGGAAGTCAATATAATAGTCTCAACGTATTTAATGTATTGTGTGAATATGATGTATGGCTGGATTTGATATAAAAGTGGCTACCAGATTTTGGTAGGTATTTGAAAGAAGAAAACCGATGAACGGAACGTCGCATTGAGAAATTGTTCTGACAAATTCATCTGCCTAATTATAATATTATTAGAAGTGAAGGCGATGGAGCCAAGAAACAAAATTCATCAATTTTTCCAAATAGCCAACTTTTGTCTAACTTAACCAACTCTGGTTTGAGATTTGCACTTGAAAAATTGATTTGTGATTATTGTTTTCAAGTGACTAGTAAAACCAGTTATTATTGAACTCCGTGTACGAAAATTCCATGATTTTTTGCATCGTAATGGTACAACACTGTGTTTGCATGATTAGCAAATATTCAACTACTGATATTTTTATAATTAGAAAATACATTCAGCTCTAAAACTTGTTTAAAAATTTATTCATTTCAACTTCAAAAATCACTTCATCTCCAATAAAAAATGTTTTGTCAGTCTTCAATTTCAAAAGAGCAGTATATTTTATTTTTAATGCATTTCTAAAAACACCAATTTTAGAATGAAATATATTATAATATTCCTTCAACTACTTCAAGAGTAACGAGATCTAGAAGTCTTGGAGAAGCAGTTATAAGTAATGAAATTTCTATAGAAAATTTCACATGTTTCAGAAGTTTATTAGAAAACATACCTGTGAAAATGGATATTGTCTTGAAACCGTACTCCACTCTAGGTCATATTTGAAAAATGTTTTTGAACACCACCAATTTCAAATATCACTTACTGTTGTATTTGAATTACATATTGGGTTGGTTGGTTCTATACAAATTAGTTGGTAATTGTGCTATATATTTTTTTTAAATAGCAGTTTCCTACTCGTTCCCAGTATAACGACACCTTTTGCAAGTACTTGTAAATTATACCTGAAAATGGACCTTAGTAGAAGTGATCTTCCTTGCCTTTTATGTGTTTCAGTTACTCACACAGAGATGCCGCAACGCTTCACAAAAAAGAAATGATTTACGCCCATAAAGCCCATACTCTAATAGACCCAAATAAGTGTAGGAAAATGTAAAAGCAGACTAAATATACAGTGCGCATGATAAATGTTACCCCCCTATCTAACTCGTAACTTGACTCTTGTTGGGAGAATCGCAGCCGAAATACGTCGATTTTTTATTTCTACAATGTACATTTTTGTATGAATAGGTAGTTCATAGCTCATTTGAAAGGGGCTTTATTTTCTATTCAACCGTGCAAACAATTACACCACAAACAGAAAGCCAACTAAACTAACACTAACTTTTTGTGTTATTACAGTTAATGTTAAAAATGTCCCCCGTTGACCTCCTGGCAAAGTATCAAGCGGTTGAGGAAGCTATTGTATAGCGAAACAAGTGTCGCGGTTTTTGTAAAACCCTTTATAGTAAAAATCATACAATAAACTCTATTAATTAGTTTTTCTGTTACTTTAGACTCGACGACTGTATTCTTACTGATACTTAATTATAACTGTAATAATGTTTTTATGAATATTCATGAGATAACCACGAGTGGTACAAGAATTTAAGCAACTCATTTTGAATTTAACGTCAAATTCAGTTCAATTCGTAGGCTATTTACAAATTCGAATATTCCGAAGAAAAATTAGTTCAGGTAAATTTCTCCCAATGTTTGAGATATCTGAAGACCACATTATTCATTCAGAAGGAAAAAAATACAACGTTTTTCTTATTGGTAAGTCACTTCAGATTTGTTCGGCTTAAAGGATGTCTGTAATATCGACTACCGACTGTGTGTGTAGTATTGTATAATGGTAGAGTGTTTATTTTTTATTCACCACACCAAGGAATTTCAGAATCTGAGAATCAAAATAGAGAATCACATAGAAATCTGCAAAATATTTTGCACACAGTCGACAATGCAGCTACCATTAGCGAAAGCCAATGAGGATTGAATGATTGAAATCGTAAGAAGATCAGGGCAGCTATCAATTCCTGTTTCGAACAGTCCTGGGTTTGTATATTTATAAGAACCCGCACCACACATGCGCTTTGGCTTTGATTCTTCCACAAGTTAAAGCATTTTCTGATTATAAAAAATGCACATTTCGTATATTTCCGTCTTTCAATGATAATGCGATCACATATAAATACCTATATATAGAAATTACATGATTTTGTTCGACAGAAATGTTGCTAACGTAAATTTTCTGAGGTGATCTTATACATCAATTAACATAACTGTACAATTTAAAAGTTGATTACCGTACTATTTGACATTTTAGCGGAGCCACCTAGTACCACTGTACCACTAATTGGTCGTTGCCGGTATCTTAGACACATCTGCTACTTACAAAAATATAACGGACAACAAATATTGTTTTATGGGGACGGTTCAAAAAGTTTTAACATTTCTTCAAGATGAATTGAATATACATACTTATAAGTCAGAAAGGTCGTAGTGTTAATTTCGGAAAAGTTTGGGCTGTATACATAATCTCAACTGCTACTTCTTACAAAAATATAACAGACAACAAATATTGTTTTATGGGGACGGTTCAAAAAGTTTTAACATTTCTTCAAGATGAATTGAATATTCATACTTATAAGTCAGAAAGGTCGTAGTGTTAATTTCGGAAAAGTTTGGGCTGTATACATAATCTCAACTTTTATAGGTTATGAATTTGATAAGTATTTGGAAAATAATATTCAAAATTTGTTGATATGAACAATATACTGATAACAGGATCACCTGGTAATTCTTTATAAGGAAAAAATGTGTGGGTAAGTATATTTGAAGTATTGTAGGTGTAGGAAAAACTACTTTGGTGAAGAAAATAATCCATAGACTGAAAACATCAAACGTTGAATGTGGTGGATTTTATACAGAAGAAGTAAGAAGTTATAATAGCAGGATAGGATTTGATATTGTGACATTAAATGGCGAAAGGGCAATATTATCTAGGAAAAAGTAAGTATTGACAAAGCTACTGTGTTAGCGATACATGTTGTGATATATTTTTCAAATAAAGTTTGTGGAGATGAAATTGTGAGTTGTAGTTTTTGAAATTACTATGGATTTTCATCAAGTAACGGCCGAATCAATCAGAAAAGTATTGGCTGTTCAGATCAAATGAAGTTTTCGAGAATCAATGAAATTTGAACCTGACGAAATGCCTTACGGTACTGTCATTTCATTTATTATTTTCCATTTGATATTTGTAATACAGTTCAGTACCAGTAGCCTCAACTTTATTCGAAGCACCTCACATAACATCTTTTGATCTTTTGTACAGAAAAATTATTGAAATTAATGTAATTTGACTTGTATAGTTTTTTGACAGATTGATCACCCTATAACTATATTGACAAATAAATCATACAGAAATATTATGTAAGGATAATTCTGTGAGCTGCTCAGAGACTAGTCATTTCAGAAATCTTGGGAAGGTACTTATTACAAGGTGTATAAGGACTTTTTAAACTCCAACATAAAAGTTACTGTTCTGGTAACTATTGCTACTACCAAGAATAACTTCAAGTTTTGAAATGGAAAAAGTTGTCTGTGATTTTCTGATACTGTGGTATTTTCAACTGTATGCACTGAATAATTTATTGGATTAGTTGATTAGTTGTAATATTTACAGACCATAATCACAACATCTTATTTCTATAATGGACCTGTTAATGGGGATCGACAGTTATATCTAAAATAATGTCGAAACAAACTCTTTGTAACAATCAATACTTACATATAAAAAATACAAATAAAAACATATTTATCAAAAGCAGATATGCTGCTTATTATTACATATTGAAACAGTTTCAATGCACTCTTAAAAATGTAGGGTTTTCTGTATCCATACTGAGCTATTAGGTAGAAAGTTACACTGATAATAATGCAGGAGTCAACATGGAAACCTTATACCCACAATTTGCAATTACTGTACAATATTTGGGAATACCTATATGCACATAGTTCATTAAATCATTGAAATGATCTTCAGAAATTTTCTAATTTGTCAATTAGATCTCAGTGTCTTTCTAGTGATATAAATCAAGTTGAATTGTTAGGTAGTAGTGTACACTGTGTAAACCTGAAGTGTAGAAAAGTAATTCACATACAAATCTCCCTCAATTATGTACTTCCTTTCTTAAGTCTGAGTATACCCTCAATATTGAATGAAATATTGAAATATAGTAAGTGGTATCAAGTATTTACAAATTATTGTTTGGAACAAGCATTTTAATAACTTATTATTACACCTTCTTGAAACATTCACCAGTTCTGTTAGACTTCAGACTGAACATAACAAATGAGCAGACTAACAAAATTATGAATCGTAACCTATACATAGTTAGCAGGTGCTTGGTACTTAAATGTTGGTCGAACAGCTGTTCCTAATTCAGAAAATATAAATTCTTGGAGGTTCACTGGACAAAAATAAGTGAATAGTAAAATTACACATGCGCAAATGTAAGTGTGTACTCCCTTATTCAATTCCTCTTGAAGACTTTCTCAAATCATTGATGTTCAGCAACTGGTAATACTCAGTGATGAGTAATGAAATTTCACAGGAATCAACTACATTCAATGTTCTCTAAAATTCATCAGACAATCAACAGTAAAGTCACGCTAATAAAAATATATTGGATCAAAAATTTCAATATTCTTGGTCTTTTGGGTGTGAACTAGTCCATTACCTGTGACTATGAACAGCCATTGAAGCCAAACTATTCAAGCTGTCTTGTTCACTTGTGATGCAATGTTTGGAACCTTTGGTGTAGTAATGAATATTACTGGAATATTATCCCAATACCAAACCGTTCTTCAGTTGAGTTTCTTGAATGAGTTTTGGATTTTATAAGCGTTGAAAAATATCATTTTCTGTACAAAAAGTGCGGACAATATTTGTAACTTGAAATGCAATTTGGGATTATATGAGCATTTCATTCACTAGGAGCCTCTATTGGTCTATTACTTGGTCTACTACTTTCCTCTTCATTTATCCATACGACTTTTCTGTATGACTCCAATTAGAGTGTGTTCGGGTATGTGAAAGAATGTTTTTTTAGATATATTTAAAAATACTGTTTTTGCTTTACCCAAAATACTAAAGACTTATCAAATTCTTCAACTTCTAAAATGACAAACGACAGACTGTAACAATGTAACAGAATAACTCTTTATGTAAGGTTCAACCCGCATCAGCACTCAGCTGATATCGAATGTAGGGGTACCTAATTTGCTTTCGATTGCTGTTTGCGTAGTTCAGAGGTAAGCTATTTTGTATAAGGTGTACCTTTGTTTATTATAGTCCCCCTCAGGATGGAATACAGAGACCATTAGTTGGTCAATATGCTGTTTATGTGGATGACTTTGAGAAACTTGCATTGCCTGTTTTTGAGAATGTGAGTTTATCATTGTATTGCTTTTATTTTCTATTTGGGTAACTTACGAAAATTTCAGCTACAAAAAATCGTGGTGATAGATGAAATAGGAAAAATGGAAATGTTTAGTAAAAACTTTCAGAATAACGTTAGGGAAGTTTTCGATAATAAAACAGTTCAAGTCATTGCTACAATTCCTGTGAAAGGAGGACCTTCTCTAGTAAAACAATTGAAAGAGAGAAGAGATTGTCAACTGATAACAGTGAGTATTCAGATCTTATATAATTTTCGGGAGGGTATCAATCAATTATAACTACATATTGTGGTTCAAAGGAGATAACTTATTGAACTTGAAATATAAAAGGTCATCGACTTGCTAACTTCATTCCACATTCGCCCTAGAAAGGGACAAGATGAACTTCCACAGCTGAGATTTTGAAATTTTCAACATCAATATATACAAAAATCTCTCTTATAATCCATGAGTGAAAACATTGGCGATTCAAGTTATTGAAAAATGTTTCGTCATTAAAAATTTCTCTGGCGCATGTTTTGGCATTCAACATGTTCTTTTCTAATATAATCAAGTTGATGTATTCCTTTCCAAAATTCATACTCCCTATAGAATGAAACAAAAAAATATTTATTCAGTGGTGAGAGACAAGAGAATGTTGTCTCAATTCTCTGGATATTTAAATAGTTGACCGAAAATATATCATTGTGTTTTGACAAATAGTTATAATAATCAAAATTATCAATGAATTGTTTTCATTGATTGATTAGTTTTATAAAATGGAGTTAGATGTGCACCAAACTTTCAAACATTAGATATTTTTCCAGTTCAGAGCAAAAAGTTGTTTTATGCTTTGGATATTTATCACTACCTGAAACAGTTGATATTTGTTAATAAGAAATGTTGATAATGTATTGTGCTATGAGGATCCCAATTCATTTGTTTTAAGTTTCAGTTTCAAGTTTCAGATTGCACTTATAGGCACTTATAGGCACTTAAAGGCCTTTAATTGCGATTAAAAGTTATAACATGTGTACAATTTTTTTACTTCATATAGAGGGTGTCAACTTTCACAGTTGCCAGATGGAATACATATAAAAAAATTGACATCAAGAACTCCATGAGTGCAAAGTTTCATTATTTGTCTGAAATACTTGAAAAATAAAATTGATTTAGCTATTTCATTCGACACGATTTAGGACTTAATGATTTCAGAGTAACTGCTTAGTTACTATGGACAGTTTCACAGAAAATATTTCACTGTTCTTGACCGCTGAGATAGGCTTCACTTTTCTAATGAAACGGTTGTCTTAATAATATCTCTGACAGGGCCGTATTAGTGCAATGTTTTGTTGCCTAGTTTCACTTATTTAATTTCATAAATGGTTTACAACTGAAGGATCTGTCGTACCATCTAACCTATTGGGATATATTTCTCCATATAGAATTTGAAATAATTCCCTGTAACACAGTCTAAATTCCAGCCCACTTTTTTTTTTTGAGGATACCAAATATATTATTTCATGAGAAAGTGCTGGATTTTATTATTTCAATAATATTAATTTTTGTCTTTCGTTCAGCTTCAGTTTAATTTCGTATGTTTCATCAGTCTAATTCTCAAAAAAACTTTGATGCTTTTATACGTTCCACACTAATTTATGAGAAATAACTTTTCTTGCAACTTGCTGTGTAGAAAGTTGATTTCACATTGTTCCAGCTTCAAACACTCCTGTTGAAGGTAAAACTCTTCTTTATTTTTACGGAGCCTGTTCTTTCAGGCTCCGTAAAACGACAGACGACTCCCGAACAGCAAGAAACTGTAATAGCTGATTCAATTACCATATCTTGAATTATCAAACGATATTGCTAACAATATGAAGTTACTGACGATATCCATATGGTCATATGCATATATTGTAACGAATCTGAAGCCGCCCCCTGACCGATATGTCGGCCAGCGAACAAACACATGACATCACCGCGAAAGAATGCAGTCGGGATTCGCCGGTAAAACTCTAGAACCGAACCGACTACAGATTTCTAGAAAGGACCGTTACTGATATAAGCACGACTTCCCGACCCAAGAGGGCAGTTCAGAAAGTGGATCGAGCGGCTAAATCAGAAATTCAAATAGAGGAAATAAATTAAGCGTTAGTTGCTAAGTGTTGTAAATAAATTAGTTTGTGGTTAGTGAAATGTTTTAGACAGTTAATTCTTTAATTTGTTACAATTGGTGATCAGAAGGGGATTTGTAAAATAAATCTGAGCGCTTGGTGAACAATCTTTGTATTTCGTTGAAATTGACCATAAGACTTATTTGTTCAGGCAGAGAGACTGGTGATTCGTTGTTTCGCGTAGTGGACAGTATCGGACTACGGAAATATAAACTGTTAGACCTTTCTCGCGAAAAATAGGTGTTTTCGGAGTCGATTAAAATAAGTGAACTTATACAGTTTTGTGGAAAATAGACAATAAGAGGAAAGTGCGGCTAGTGGACTTTGAAGTCGCCGAATGGAAGCAAAAATTGGAGGAAAGGGAGCTAGATTGTTCTGGAAAGAAATCAGTACTCCAGAAGAGACTGTGGGATAACTTGATTGAATCAGGAGAATATCCCGAAACAAATTTATTCGAAGTTTCTGAGGGTGAGTTGAGTTCAATAATGAGCAAACTCGTTGAGAATACCAAATCGCTGAAAGATGAACTTTAACAAAATTCGGTAAGTCTGGAGGAGAAGCTTCTGGAAAATTCGAAGTGCCTGGAGGAGAAGCTTCTGGAAAATTCAAAGAGTTTGGAAGACAAGCTTCGCGAAAACTCGGTGAGTTCAAAAGATGAACTTCAACAAAATTCGAAGTACCTGGAGGAGAAGTTTCTGGAAAATTCGAGAGTTTAGAAGACAAGCTTCTGAAAAATTTGAAAAGTTTGTAAGATAAATTTCTAGAGAATTCTCGAAGGAAGAACTTCTAGGAAATGCTGAAGGCTTAAAAAAAAAACTTTGTGGTGTGGCGTGTCTACTCGAAGAAAGGATAGGAACCAGCGAGACAGAGATAGGCAAAATCAGGAAGGAAATGAACACGAAAGTAGAGGAAATCAAAGGCGGAGTTCAAGCAGAAATCGGCAAGATGAAGGAAACAATTAGCAATTTGCAAAACTAAATCCCTAACTCCTTGGGTAAATTACCGCCGACAATTCGAAGCTGCGGCCAGAGCGAATGGATGAAATGCAGGAGAAAAGGCGGTAGCATTAACACTAGGAAGACTATGACCAAATTATAAAGCATCTTGAGCTATGGTCTGCACCTAGAGCACGTTTACATTCACAGCTGAGGATCCGCTGCCAGAAATCAGAAGAATCTCTACAGGAATTTGAAGCCGACATTGCTCAATTGGTTCGTCTGGCATATTCTGCTACACCTCAAAATGTAATGGAGCGGTTAGCATTTCAGGCATTCTTGGACGGACTTATCGACCAAGAAACGAGGCAGGCATTGGCACTAGTTCGTCCCAAACATCTCGTGCACTGGCAAACGCTCTGGAGTTTGAGGCTGCAAAACAATCCTGTAAGAATCAGAGCAAAGATTGAACTATCGAAAAAGATGTACAGTTGCCTGCTGATATTGAGGCCATCATTAGAAAGGTAATAAAAGGAGTGTTGCTCGAGAGAAAACAAATAAGATGCTGGAACTGTGGGAAAATTGGGCGTAGCAAATGCCCAAGCATTCAAAGAATCAACACCAAATCAGGAATACTAGAGAGGGTCGATGAGAAGGTGCAATCGTAAGTCTGATCATGTCCCGATGACTGCTCACATTAACGACGAGCAGAAGAAAAGGAAGCATCTATTTGTAGAACTACAGCTGTAGACGACAACTGGGAGGACAATAAAATCAAGGAAGACCAATATGTTTACCGTACTTCGTCAATTCACCAGTTTATTGCATTTTCATGTTCACTACACCGATTTGTGCTTTCAGCGAAGTTTGTACATATCATTTGTTTGATGTTTGTCATATTTTTCTGGACATAATTTTTCCTCTCCATAAATCCAGTGTCTCATATTTGTATTAAACATAACGAGCTGTATCTGTCCGTTTATTGCATAACCTGATTGTGAGGCTCCGTTATGCAATGTTATTTTGTTCAAGAGTCCTCTGAATGGGCAGTGTCCAGTTAGTACTGTAATTATTCTGAGTCGTCTGCTTTGTTGATGTTTTTTTTTCAGGCATCTCTTTTGTATAAGTATGTGTGTACTTGATTGTATTTCCCCATAATGTTTTTAATGAACTATTTCCTGATCTGGTCAGCTATCATAGAAACTCCCCAGCATCTGATTCTATAGTCCGTTCATAATTTGTCGATAGCACAAAATGAGGGCCCAAGTCATGAAACGGTCGTAAAACTCGTAAAATCATAGGCGGAGGTTCCTGAGGTGTTTATTCATTAAATATAAAGCTTCAGTTTATATTCGAAACTTGCCTTGAAAGGGTGAAGTTGTTACGAACGAAAATAATTTTTAATTTCTTCAGATACAAGGTGGGTTAGTCGAAAACATCTTAAACTGCCAGTTTTAGTTTGGTTTTTGTTATTATATCATATTAGCTGTCCTCTCTGTATTTCAGTTCTCTAATGAGGGTCAAACTTGCAGTGAGCTATCAATAAATTATGAACGGACTATAGTTGATGATTCGTCTCTAGCACTGTCATCAGCTCTTCTATTGCCTGTGATGCCCTAGTGTCTTGCAGTAAAGAGTCAATTTATTACATCGCGTCATTTTTTTCAGTCTTCAGCACCATTTCCAGTCCGGTCATGATGTCTCTCTTGTGTTCATCAATGATTCCAGTGCCTTCTTTCGTTGAGGCTTCAATTCACTATTTCAATATTGCAACACTTCCTCCTGCGAGACGGTTGTGTATTGAACGAGTGGACAGTTTGGGTGGCAAATTTATTTCCGTATAGTATATTTAAACTCCCATTTCAAGTTTTAGATTAGTCTGTATATAAGGTATTTCCACTTTTCGTAACCGTGAAATTAAGTTGAAAGTGTCAAGTGGTTCGTGAACATTTCTATTCTACACATACTCGAAAACAGCTCAATCCCTTGTAGCTCTGTGAATTTTCCAGTGTGAATGAGACCACACTCGTCACTCCTGTCATTATAAGATGTAAGAGCCGCTTCACATTTGGGCGGTGAAATGAAAAAAAAATTAAATGAAATAATGCATCGCATTTATTATTCAACTCTAGAGAGCACCTGTCATTAGATCCCATCAATGGTGCTAGGCTGAACCAAAAATGGGTTACTGGACTCAACTGTCAAAGGATAAGCCATAAAAAGTGAGTACGATGATACTCAGCTTATGAAGACGCCGTCTATGGGATCGACAGAGAAGTCAATCCTCAAATGTCAAAGATAAACGAGGCTGCCCAAGGCGATCAGTACCCAGAGACAACGCATATTTTATTCAACACCGGACAGCTCTGGTTCGACTCACTTTAGGTCTTATCAGTGGTGGTAGGCTGAACCACAAATGCATTACCGACATCCACCTTGGTTTCGGACAGGTTGGAGCCTGGCTCCCTTACCCTTTTGACTGATGTTTGTCAGAGGGACAAATGGGTCATGACTGATGATGGGATGGCGACATGAATGTCCTCAGACATCATTGCCGCCCTTCACGGTGTACCCTTACCTGGCTGGGGTGGGATGGATGAAAAGATTGTCCATCTTTTAACGGACGACATAGGGGCCTCATTCCTCAGAGTGTCGGGGTCTTCTATATCGGGAGGGGTCGTCTACAGTATAATCCATAGCTTCCCTAACTGATAGATTTTCATTAGTTTCTGCGCAATCAAAAACTCGCTGATTCCTCGACTGAACGGACTGTCGCATGGAAGGTAGCTGCAAATCTCTGCGGATGGCTTCATTCCGCACGGATCAAGGAGCATTCACAATCATCCTTAATAATTTGTTTTGTAATCTCTCCAGAATGGAGATATTATACGTAGCCGCTTGTCCCCAGACGCCTGAAGCATACATGATAACAGGCTTGAGCATCGTATTGTAGATGGTAATTTTGTTTGTGAGGGTGATTTTGGATTTCCTGTTGATCAGAGGGTATAGACTAACTATCCGACCGTCGATTCAAACGCACATGATGTGCGGGTTCCAAGTGAGCCTACGGTCTATTAGAAGACCAAGGTACTTTACCTGCGCTTGCCAGTCTCCCAACCCATGGAAGACGAGAGGAGAGCCGTGTCATCGGCATATAGGGATATCTTCACACGCTCAGGCCTCGGAAGGTCGCTGGTGTAAAGCGAGTATAGCGTGGGAGAGAGCACTGCCCCCTGTGGCACTCCAGCGAGAATCTCTCTGTTGTCAGACAGAGAGTCCTCTACTCTAACCTGAAATGTTCTGTCTTTCAAGAAAGACCAAATCTACAAGATCAGGCCCCGAGGCAAGTCGAACGCGATTAATAAACGGTCGAAGGCCTTCGAGATGTCTAACAGTACAATGTACACTTTTTTCAGTTCAGCTCGTGGATGGTGTTTTAGACCAGCCTTAGAGCCTGTAACTCAGTGGAGTGTTCCCTCCTGAAGCCAAATTGTTCATCAGGCAGAACATTTTGGTCCTCAACTTCTTCGTTGAGTCTTTGCAGAATGACTCTTTCAGCAAGCTTAGCCGCCGACGAGAGCAGACTGATCTGTCGGATGGATGAAAAGATTGTCCATCTTTTAACGGAGGACATAGGGGCCTCATTCAACAGAGTGTCGGGCGATAGTTCTGTGGGAACAGCAGGTTCTGACCTTGTTTTGATATCATGACGACGATCACATGCTTCCACCTTCTGGGGAAGTATCTGAGGGTCAACGAGCTGTTGATGATGTACAGCAGGTTTTCAACGCAGTTCTCCGGAAGCCTCTTCAATAACTTGTTGGTTATTGAACCGACCCCCGGAGCTTTACAAATGCATTGCTGTGTTTAACTGTCATTACAGGACAAGCTTGACAAAATGGGATCGACAAAAAACTCAATCCTCGAAAATCAAAGATAAACGAGGCTCCCCAAGGTGGTTAGTTTTGTTTTAAAGTGTTTTGTTTTCATTTCACATTTTCAAATGTATAAAAGAGACAGCTTGTGTGTGATTATGTCTGTAATTCTGCAGATATCTTGTAAATTGCGGAATGTTGGTCACATTGAAAATCATTGATAGAGTAACTAAACCAAATTGTTGGTGCAATGCAGTTGATTCAGGGCTAGTAATCGTACTTGCCAGCAATAGTTCGAAATTTGTTGCATGAAGAAAATTGCGTAAATGTAAGGCGGCTTGAAAGGTAGGTATCACGTCGCTAGAAACCAGCCAATCCTGATATAGGTATCGCGTGACGTTCAGCGTACAGTGTTGCCGCCGCCATGCAATATAATAAATACAACATTTTTAGACTTTTGGCAGTTTCGAAATAGATGTTTTTTTATATCAACGTGACATCTAGTGTACAGTGTTGCCGCAATTTAACTATATATATACCTAACCTAACTTAACCTAACCTAACCTACCCTAACCAAACAGTTTGCCAACAATAGTCGCTTGTTTATCTTAGGCTACTAACCCATAATGAAATTGAATATATTCTGAAATACTGTTCACAGAAAGTCTGTCTAACACACTTTATGAACTTTTTTTTTCAGGTGAATCCCAGCAACAGAGAAAATTTAGTAGACGAGATTGTAAAATCATTGAGTCTCCATTGAAAATTATTTGCATTGTTATCTATACAATTAAAATGTCATTCATAGAAACCGCGTTTTATTGATGGGAGTTCTATATTTCTCAACACTTTTATAGCATTCAGTTGGGTGATGAACAACAGTTTTGAAATATCAGGCAATAATAATTTTTCTGACACAATTTTCTTAATTTTTGATTTGTCAAAAGTGCAATATCGGAACTTAATTTCTCTAGATTAATTTTCAAAAATAACTTATTTCATATTCAAAACATGAAGATATACATATCTTCCACAAACCAGAAGTCTTATCAGGTTCCACCAACAAAGTTGGCATCATCAGGAGATTAACTATATTTGAAATATACCGATGATTCTCTGAAAATGAAATCAATTGGAGTCATTTTGAAAACGATTTTTAAAATGAAATTATTTTTTGCCATTTTGGCAAGGCGGTAAAATGTTCAATTAACGACAATGAAGCAGTGTTTACACTCCTGTAAGTGTGATATAAAAAGGGCCCAAGAGGGCTAAAACGTCTGTCTGTTGTATCTGTGTGATCTGTCGTGTTATCTATCTAGCAAAGATTTCGTTTACTGACAGGCCTCTGCCAAATTCTACTTTATAGAGTCTAGGGAAAAAGATGTTTTGAAATCTATCTGCAGTATTGGTCGGAAAAACATACTCCTATGAAGTATTGTGTGAAAAATATAGTCCTATGAAGTATTTTTGGTGTCAAATATTCACGAAAAATGCAGCTTTACTCACAAACTTTATTTCAAGTAAACAATGAACATTTAATATGAACCAGAACTTTTAATGGTTTCTGTGGAAAATTTTGACAAATATTTTCAACATATATGCGAATGAAGGACCAAGCACACTACTTATTTACCAATATATAAATACCAATCAGATGATTGAAGTTAACAGCATTATTTTGAAAAGTATATTGTAATGTTTTCAAAATAAGAGGATCTGAAAGTAAAAAACAATAAAATCAATAATGAACTCGAAATTTTCTAATTGTTTGATATTATCATCGTCCAAAAAGGTTAAAAGAAAAATGGATATAGCAGAATATATTGCCTTCACATTGGACCTTTCACTATCCATTGAAAGATTTAGAAAAGAAGACAGTCGTTATGTTTTCCTTAAATCACTTTTTATATTTTCAGTGAGAAATTGAGTTACAAAACTTTATAGATATGAGATGGAAGTTGTGCGTGGCCCTTTTTACTAATTATCCTGTCAATAAATGATTATACAGAAAACAAGATACAGAATAGTATCACATCTAATGCTTTCTCAACAAATTATAATAGTGTTTGAAATTGTCCTTTGGAAAATTTTTGAATGAATAAGTATAAGCTAATAAGGGATCTATTTACAGGTTGAAAATGTAATCTAAATACAGTTTTTGAAGAATATAATTCTAGCTCACAAAATCACATGAAATATACATTCAACAAAAATTATTTACAATCGCCTATATATTCATATGTACTTAGTTTAATATCACAGCTTAAAAATAAAAAGCAAATGTCGCTTGTCCCTTAATTTTGAATAAAATAAAAAACAATAAATACTGAATAAGGTATGTATCAGATTTTTAGATAAGATTTGACAAGATGAATCATATGGTTATGAATAATGACATGTCTCTTTGTAATTCATGAAAAATTCAGATGGAAAGATCGAAATAGTTTCAATAAAGCTTCAAAATTCTAGTAACCTTATCTATTATATACAGCTTTTCACTCATCCAAGAAATCAAAAATATAAGAACGAAAACAATATTTATAGTATTCTACTGAGAATGATATCGATAGTCAATTCCTGTTTGTTAAATATTTATAAATTGGACAAAACATATAGGTAACAATTGAAATTATTTTTAAAATTTTGTGAAGAATTGCCCGTTAACGAAAATTCATCTCTGATATATTGGCTGCTAAATGGCACATACTGATTTCGCCCGAAGAGAAAGTTATTTTCTAGGTATTGTTTCATTTTTAATATTGAATATCTTTGCTCCAGATATTGAATATCATCCTTTGAGACGTAAGTTGAAATGAGACAATCATGTTTTCATCTTCTTGATGAAAATAGTAATTTAGTCAGTTTACTGACAGATATTTCTAAATGATGAGTAACATTACTAGAGACGTCTTCAACATAGAGATTTTTGTGATACTGATATGATGATTAGGTGGTATAATGAAAGGGGCTGAAAAGGTAGTTTGCTGTTCTTAATATTTCAATCAGAAGTTACCATAGGTACAAAAATTGAAAACTGCAGGACGGTTGCCGGTCGGGTTGACGTGGGTGGTTTGCACGACTCACTGAATCAACCGTTGTGTAAACCGGTGGTTCAAGCCGCAAGGACGTTCGATTTTCACTTCGTATCGTCCAACACGTGTTCGGAATTACATGTTGAAAGGTAAGACCCCGTTAGTCCTTAGCTCGCACAAGTTTCGACTTTTGAGAGTTGTCGTTCGTAAGGGGGCGACAGCTGGCAACCGGAAAAACAGATTTTAAACAGTGTTCCGTCACCATTTCCCTGTATATTGTGTTTGTCTGAATAACAAAAGTTTTTTATTTTCACAATTATTTTGTCTCATCTATGGCAAAATGACTGTGGTTTTCTGTGACTGCCACGAGAGGAAGATCGCGCACCTAAATTGGCATTCGGAGTGCATTCGCTATTGAGAACTATACGGTCATACTCACACAGGACATATTCAAAAAGGTTTTGTTTCTCTCTCTCTCTCTCCCTTCAACGGCTTCTTGCGTGCCGTTGTGGCCAGAACTAAGGTAAGAATATCACAGTCACGTTTAATTTTCTCCGTTCAGTAATATTATTATTTGTTAATACTCATTCTTTTAGCACCTCTGAATAAAATGAATTATTCGATAATTTTCAAAGACCTGTTAAATAGTGACCCCCAAATCACTCAATATTCAACACAGAGTTTAAACAGAAAGATGAAATTTCGATACTGCGTGAAATATATCATGGTGTATCATATGCTCATTATTATTTACTTTTACATACATGGTCCATCCTCTTTCGCACATGGATAGGTACCCACACTAATATTAGATATACCAAATGGAAAAGGGTCAAACATAAGTAGTGAAATAGACAAGTTTATACATCGAGATCCTAATGGAAGTCCTTGTTGTTCAGCATGTCGTTGAATTCTATTTTAGCTTGAAGGTTCAGTCATAATCTATGAAAAACATTTTTCTCTCACAACAGTACCTACTGTAACCTTCTCTCGACGCATGTTTCATCTACCAAGTTGATATCATCGAATGAACTATATCAATAACTATAGTTCGAATAATCCTATGTAAATTAAACAAAGACAAAGCCTCCTCTTACATGTAATGAATCAAAGATTTTTGAGGTAAAACTTGGCAGGACATTCAGAAATTTGTGACGAATGACTGATTCATGAAAGAATGAACAATGGGTTGTACCCTTCGTCTCTGTTAATACTTCCCATGCCGATTTTGATATTTCCAGACTTTGGAAAGTCTAGTGTCATGTAAAGGTCTTACCATTTTCAAACCTTTAATCTCATTACTGTTCTCCAAGAAGTGTTCAGCAACAAAATACTTTTGAGGTCTACAGAATTGCTTATGGACCACATGTTCATCGTATCGAGTTTCAGTAGCGCATTTGGCTTGACCAATACTTTTTTCTCAGTCCTAACAGATCATTTCATCAATCTTACACTCCTCAGTTTTCATTATTTTGATCTTAGGGCTACATAACATTCGATGAAGTAAAATGACAGTCTGGAAAGCTATTTTAAATTCTTGTTTTCTATTTGATGAAATCTTTCAGTTTATCTATTGTACATAAGTAAATTTTGACTCATCTTCTTCTTGGTTGAGGCAATCGAGAGATTATAGAATCATTTAATATATCCTCACAGTTGTGTCCAAGTATTACTATATTGAAACCTTTCAAATATGTGAGGGATATTCTTAGAAATAGTGGTGTAAATGGTGAAAAAGTCGAAAAATACGTACATCTCTCCATATATTACTTCCCGCCGACTTGTATTCAATATAAAGTCGATATATTTGTTCGTTTTGATACAGAGAAAAGTAAATTACACTTTCAACATATCCCCTCATATTAGGTTCACATAATATGGAATTGAAAACAAGGAGAAAGTAACATTCTCAGTGACTCACTTATAGAAAAAGCCCAAAAGTGTTTAAAATATGATGTGCCAAGAAGAATATAGGTAGGTACTTTCTACAAATTCACTCAACAAAAAAATGGCGAGGCTACACTTTCCTGTCCTTTTCCTTATTGAATTCAACTTAAACAAAGTTGAATAAAAAAAATAATCCGAACATAACTGAAAGCAATGGATATCCTCTAAGTATAATGTATTTAAATGATACATTTGAAGAGTCTTCGTAAGTCCTCGGCTTCTAAGAAAGCACAATGGGCCAGAGTTTATTGTTATTCCATATTTACCAAATGATATACTAAGGGACTAAATAGAGTTGAAAAAAAACATAGAAAGAGTTCTCAAAAGTGTAATTTCACTTCAGCCACTGAGAAGCAACTGGGAAGTCTGAAATTTATAAGCTGTGAGAACTGTGTCTAAAAGTTTGTTGTTTGTGAACAACACGTCTTTGAGAATGTCTGTGTAACAAACGAACATTTTTTGAAGTGTTTGAGACTTTCGGATAATTTTTAAGACTCTGAAAATTTTCTTGAAAATCATTGATGTATTAATAAAAGTGAAAATAGGATATTCATTGGTTAAGTTCAGTTTCTGATAACACCAACTTGGTTGATAAAGATAATATTAGTAATGATAAGAGTATTACAGATCTGATGTGCGGGAGAAGTTTGTTCGTTGGTTCAATTTTAGTTTTCATGAAAACCTTACTTCCCAAATCAGTATATTTTGCAATAATCGACTGTACGCAAAGAATAGTGTATCTGACATACAGCCATTTTCTAGGATAATGACAACAAAAATGATTACTGATCTAACTAGAAAATGCTAAGGCTACGTCTAAATTTTATTTGTT